CCAGATGCCGAGAAACGGGCATTTTTTAGCCAACTGCACTGAACTAATACATCGGTGTACGATTAGAAAGCTTATGAAAGTAACGAAGTGCCATGTGCTCCGTCTGTTAGTTACGAGGGTTAGAGCAGCTTGTCGCTTTCTCATGTTAATTCTCATAAGAAAAGAAGGTAATTCGAGCATCCGAAGCGGCGTTTTTTCCACAATAACGAAATCTACGGTTACTTTCGACTGCAACCTGGCTTTCACTTTCAATGATTCGGCCATGTGTTTTTTACTCTCTGAATGTGGAGATCAGTATACGTTCGAACGCGGCAGTGTGAACAACGAGAAAAAACGCAGCCCGCGCCTCAAGTGACTTTTGTGGAAAAAAGAAATATATTTTGTTATATAGTGAGCGACTAATAATCGTGTGCGAGTGTGAACAATGGCCAAGAACGTTAATTTAGAAACATTTAAGTGCTTGCGTGACTGGAAGGGCCAACTTTCTAATCTTTGGAGGGAATTTCAACCCAAAGAAATCAAGCGTCTCATCGCGGATTCCGCAAAAGGTATTCTCTTCGACAAAGACTACCATCGCGTTGAGGAATATCAACGATTCATCATGTACGCGATCCGAGCGAGCAAGATCAGAAATGAAGCCATCAAGCTCGATCCCGACGAGGTTAGACTGTTGCAACGTTTAGTCGGTACGGGCTCATGGGACGGGCATAAACTCAGCATTGACCCCAAGGTTTCTCGTTGCCTTTTCGACATATGGGCCGAATTCGATGCGAATTACTTCGACAAGGAGAGCCGTTCGGAGCATTTCCACATGGCCTGCGAATTCGCCAATTACGACGTGGTGAAAAAGTTCCTCGAGCTTGGTCAGGATCCCAATTGCATCGACAGAAAAACGGGCGAATCGCCGCTACACTTGTTGCTTTCGCCGACCCGTGACAACGACAACGAATTCAGACGAACGATCGAGCTGCTGCTGAGAAACGGCGCCAATCCGAACGCAACCAATCGGATGGGATCGACGCCTCTGCACAAGATGTGCGAGTACAGAGACTGCTGTTCTATTAACACGATTGACGAATTCTTGGTGGTCTGCGACGATGTCCGTCAGCGGGTGCACATCGACGCCCAGGACAATGAGGGTCGGACGCCGCTGCACCTGGCTGCGGAGTTCCGCCGTCAGGATGTGGTCCTATTGCTGCTGAGACGCGGCGCTGATCCTAATGTCGCCAACGAAATGGGTCGTACTCCTATGCACCTCGTCGCCCTGCTGAACCAATTCTACGGGGATGAGATAACGAAGATGATCTTCGAGTACAGCGCCGAGAAGCAGCGACCGGTGAGGATCAATGTCCAGGATAGGATGGGTGACACGCCGTTGCATTTGACCATGCCCGGCTGCGACAAGAAGGTGTTTAAAACCCTACTGAGACAGGGCTCAGATCCGAATCTGGCCAACAAGTACGGCACGACGCCTCTTCACGCTGTCTGTCGCAGAGACCGCGACGACGGATTCGTCCAGATCTTGTTTGAGATCTGTGATAAAAGGCAGCTGGCGGTGCAGGTTGACGCCCGTGACAGCGACGGTAAGACACCGTTGCAGTTGGCCGTAGCCAATCTATTGCCAAACGCCGTCGATGTGCTCTTGAATCGTGGCGCAGTTGTAACCAACGGCATTTTTCCAACTTCAATCGATATGGAACTCTTAATCGATTCATCGTTGACCTGTAAAATGAGAGTAGCGTCCGGTGCTTTGGCCGTCGCCGAACAGCTCGAGGCAAGAGGATATAGCTTCAGCCGAAGCGACGCCCTTTCGATCATGGAACTCTTTGCTAAACACGATTTGTTTGAAAAGTCATCGGATCTTAAAAAATCTCTGCGTGATGATGAGGAGTTCGCGAGCCAGGCAAAAATGGCAATGATCATTCCGAGTCTGTCGCTCTACGATCTCATCCACTTAGGACCCAAAGAGGAGGAAAAGCTACTCTCTTACAGGGACTACTTCGTGTTCGCGGGTCAGTATTATAAATTGATGGTGACTTCAGAAAAGAATGAGGAGAATTGTATTTTGCATCTGTGCGAAAAACTATCGAGAGGATTTTTTCGACGCTGGGCACTGGATCCTTTCTCCGAGTTGATTCGCAAACGGCTGCCGATTCTCTGCTGCGAACAGATCTTGGAGAAGCTGGACAACCAAGATCTGTGCAATATCTGCTTGGCGGCTGCAGGCCAAACCTCTTCATAACGATCAATGTGTTTCCACAACTTTATTTATGTTATTGTATTATTCATTGTTCCACAAAGCACACCAGAGAACTATTTTTCAAAAATACTCCATTGTAACGTTATTTGATTGTAAATTTAGTAAAAAATAAATTAAACGACTTGAAAAAAAATGTTAAGAGGAAAATTGAACCTACTTATCCTTTAGATCCTACTAACTCAAAATATAAAAGTAAATATTAAATATTTACCAAAGAGCATTACATTGATTTCTATGCAATGTAAACGATACTTGCTATTTGATTTCATGACAATGAAAAAATAACCGAGTACAACAATCAATAAAATTAAAAATTTTATTCAAATTTTTTCAATTTTTGACATTCTTGAACTGGGATTTTTTAAAATTTTTTCATAACTTTATTTTATTTGCTCTTCTATTAAATTTTCCAAGATTTTTCTTCTTTCATATTTTGTAACTATTGTTACTGATAAGCCGTATTTGCGTGAAAGCACGACTTTTCGGCATCTAAAACACAAAGGTGACAAAAAATAATACTTACCTTCAAATTTCATGTTCAAGCGTTTTTCTCACTCCTAGAAATACTAGGAAAAATTGGCTTGGGTCCGGGCTGCTGGGCACGCAAAAAAATGTCACCTTTTTTTGTCAACTAAACTGTATTTTATTCGGGGATTTGACCATATATCTAAATTCGCGTCGAGAGCACCGAAATTTAACGATTGACTTCACTCGTCGCTCTCGGCAAAGTTTTACCGAATTAATTATGAATTTCGTTTCTTTTCTTTCTCGTCGTCGATTCATTTTACCTGCAGTTGCTCCTCGTCGTCGAGTCTCTCTGATTTTCTCTCTCTCTCTCTCTCTTCGTCTATATATAATAAAGTCTTTGTATGTATACGCGAAACTTGTGCGTATATTATACGCCGCGCAAGGTATCCTCCTCCCCCGAATAAATTTCCCGAAATGCGTGTACGATGTAGCGAAGTCGTGTGCGCGCCTGTGTGTGTACGCGACGTTTAGAATTGAGATACGTATTATAACTGTCGCGTCGCGCGATGATAAATGGCACGTCAATTAATTATAACGCACACGATGTGTGTGTGTGTAGGAAATTACGTGGCTCACGTGAGCCGCTAGGCTGGGCTGGGGCTGATGATGATGTTCGATTCGACGAAATCTCGATGTACGTACCTTTATTACTTTATATCATTTTTGGGGGAGAAGGTAAAGGCACACAAGAGCCGCGATCCCAAAATTACGTTGCCATTGTCTCGACAGAATCGGTGCGTCGATGCGAGGATTCGCGGCTTATCGCTCTGTGTGCTCTATGGAAACGTATGCTGCACGTCGTACATAAGCACAATGTAACCCAATTCTATATCTTCGATCTATGGGGCTCATTATGTTATTAGCTCGTTTCGATATATAGCGTGAAAGAGGCTGCGAGAGCACTGCCCGCTATTATCGCGTTAATTAGCATCCCTGGATAGAAGTGCTCGACAATATTTTTTTTTTTTAATAGTTTGGCCATACGATGTTCGACATTTTTTAATTGTCGCTATTTAATGATCATTTTTTACTTAGTCAAAAAGAATGATAACTCCTCACGGTGGGCCTGAAGCCTGTATAGGTTGTATCAAAATGGCCACCAAAACTGATTGCACCACTTTTTAGTAGGTCAATCACAGATGAAAAGACCGTTCGAATCAAAATCCTAGCTGATCCTGTTCAAAAGTTATACGTATTTTTCACTTTTCATACGAAAATCTCTATTTATTTCCTTGCCACCAAGAATAAGAATATTATAATCTCATTATTATAAAGAAATCAACGATTATATTGTACATTTAAAGTGTTCGGTAGTGAGTGCGTTAAGAAAAATTTCCTCATGTACGTTTCAAAATATACAGTCGTCAAATCTTTCCAACTTTTTCCATGCCCGAGCGAAAAATGTCTAAACTTAAAGTGTCGTAGCTCAGTCAAAAAAGGTCAAATGAAGGTTTTGAAATAACCAGTGGAAAATCCCTTTAACTACTCAAAGGCTATATAAATTGTTATTAGGTTTATTCGTTAATTTATTCATAAATTTTTATTAACAATTAACGAATCGAAAAAATTGGTTTTCATTTTCTTCGCTATTTCTATTGAAACAAATGTCCCTACAATGAAATCCGTGCCGTGACTTATATACAATCATTTTTACTTTGCCACTTGCATATTTGCAGAAATGATGCTACTCGCCATCTAGTGGTGAGGTTTCAAAGCGTTAATGTCGAATTCAAATTCGTCTTTGAAGACAGGACTACATTGTCTGTTTCAAGTCATTTAAAGTGCGCTTCATAATTTTAATAGGAAAAATTTCCAAAAGCAAGCCAATAACAAATTGAAGCATCTGAAAGCATTTTGATATATTATCAATGTTGAACATTTCTACCAGGACATATATATCCCAAATATAAGCCGAAGAGAAACACATGCTTCGAAGCGCGAAATTTTTACAACAAATACAAAATCTGCTCGTGCTAAATAATGATTTTACCCCTTACCAGAAAGAGAGAGAGAGAGAGAGACGTAGGAAGAGAGAAAACAAAAAATCTCACCGTCATTTTTCCGCTTTATCTCTCGCTCTAGCCGCAGCAGACGTCGTCGTTGTCAAAAATCAGGCCATCGCCGCCCATATAACGATTCGTTTTCGATATCTTTACGACAGATACGTATCTTTTTGCGGAAAAACAGCTGAGGAGCGGGTGAAAACATTTTTCTCGTTTGAATATCTTACGTACGCTCTGCGAGTCGTGGGTTGGGATATATTACATAAGGAGAAAAAGGAAAATAGCCATTGTGTATCAGCACTTTTTTTTCATTTTTCTCTCTCTCTCTCTGTCTTGTCTCTGCTACCGTTGCCACTGCCCGTTTCCTTGATGGAGTTGTTGGAAGAAGCGATTTATCAAAGCCTCGAAGCTTGTAATGCCACTGCTACGCTCGACGATCGTATCATTTTTTTTTTCTTCCCTCAACTTCTTTTTTTTTTTGTTTTTTATTCATTGTAAAACTTCCCCTCGTTTCTCGCGTTGCGCGCGATATTGCGCCGCGTCGTTAGATATTTTCTCTTTCAATCTCGTATACACGATGACTTTTCCTCTCTATATCTCAATCTTTGTCTTAATGTTGTGCGCCTCCGATCCACCCACCAACGCAGGCATCTGCGACGAGCACGAGTATAGGCTGACGAGGCACCTGCTCGAGGGCTACGACGCGGCGGTGAGGCCGGCGAAAAATTCATCCGAGCCGCTGGTCGTCGCTTTCGGCCTGGCGCTACATCACATTATCGACGTGGTAAGCTATGGATATATTTATAACTACTATAAAATATGTGAATATGTGTGTATGTGTGCTTGTGTGCTACTGTTGGCCAATATTAACGCCCTCCTTCCCCCACGCAGAAAAACCGTGAATCAAATATTTTCCTGATACTCGCGTGGTTGCAGAGCTGTATACTTACCTCAATAAATCTTTTTCGGAGATGTTAATGAAATTTTTACCGCTGCCATGTGGTTCGTGATATTTAGAAAGTTTTCGACGATATACGCGCCAGTAGGCTACTCGCGATTATTATTCGGGAAATATTGCCGTTCGTACGTTTCTTTTTTCTCGTTATGTACACCCGCGTATATCCGCAAACTCGTCGTCGAGAGGATAATAACGTTTGTATACACTTTGTATTTGACTCGTGGAATTACATTGCATAATGTAACGAGCTCCTCCTTCCCCCGCTTCCCCATATTATTATCATTATTCAAAACTCACTGCCGCAACGATGATCTGCATTAAAAGCGCATGGGGAAAGATAAACACGCGCGCGCCGACGACGACGACGACGCGACGTTTATAATAACTCGCGATGTAGCAGCGGCGAGGCGATGCAGTACATAGCGATAAGTATATAGTAGCGCGGTGATTTTAATATACATGTCACAGGCGAAAAGTAATTTTCTAAATACACTTAAAAAAACATTTTTTCCATTTCTCGCTCGTTTTATGCGCGCGCGCGCGCCGAGTGGCTCTCGAAGAAGTAAAAAAGTAAGTTTTTGCGTGCGTGCGAGCGCGCACATCTGGAAAAAGCGTCGTTTCAAAAAAAGAGAGAAGGAGTAGGAGGAGAGCGCGAAGAGTGCACTTTGCTTCGCGCGCGCGCCGCATTGTTTGCGCCTATATACACGAGCGAAGCAGCAGCAGTAATAGTAGTAGTAGTTATACGCAAAGTTTTCGCGGCGCGGCAGCTTTTGCAGCCGAGCAAAAGTACTATAATGAAATAGATAGATCGATGGAGGGAGCGAGGGAGGAAAATTTATAATACAGGAATTCGTCCATTGTCGCTCGCGCGTCGAAGTTGAGTTTTACCTTCTTTTTTTTATCTCGGATCTCAAAATTAACAAGATTCTCGATATAAAATGAATCGCAGAGAAAAAGAAAATGTACACGGTAAATAAATAAATGAAAAAAAGAAGGGTAAAAGTAATTACGCATTTATACGTGTAACGGTATATACGCGCAGTGTACACATTTATATATATCCTGGAATTTCAACCGCGCTCGAGAGCTTTTGTGCGTGACAGTACGCCGGTGTAATATACACAGTTTATACAGAGCATCTTTCTTTTTTTCTCTCTTTTTAATTACACCGTTTCTTTCTTTATCTCGTCGTGGTCGTCGTCGTAGCGACGAGAGAAAATTCATTAAAAAAAAAAAGAGAGAGAGAGAAAAAAAAATTGTCTCAAAACGGCAAGCGCTCGAGACCGACTTGTCGGAGCGACAGATCGAACAGACGATCCTGGACGAGCTCGTCGTTGCAGATGGCTTTGACGCGGGACTCGCGACAGTTGCTCACGTAGACGCCGCTCTTTTTCTCCATCAGCGGACTGACCGCGGCGTAGACCACGGGCACGGCGCCTTCCTCGAGATTCTGAGACAGATACAATACAACAACGACGATATAACGAAATAAAATTGAAATATATATATCGATCATTTTTAATACTGACTTTGAAGAGTACATCGACGATGGCCCGCAGGTACTTGACGTAGGTCGTGCGAAAGATATCGGTGCTCACTACGCCCGGATGTACGGCGCACACCTGCACCGGCAGTCTCTTGGCGGCGAGCTCGCGCGCCAGCCTCTTGGTGAACAGCACCTGGGCGAGCTTGCTCTGCGCGTACGCCTCGGCGGTGACGAACAGATCTCTAAATCGCGACACACGGATCGGAATTATCAAAATTTTATTGCTAAAAAATATTTATTTATTTTTTTTTTTTTCGTTTCGTATAACAATTACTTTCTGTTGGTGTCGCTGAATCTGACGTCACCGACCAGATGAGCGCAGGACGACACGTTGATCACCCGCGAATGACCGAGATCCGTGGATCCGGCGCGGGCCAGCGCCGGCATCAGCAGCAGCGTGAGCAAAAAGTGCGACAGATAGTTCACCCCGTACTGCTCCTCGTAGCCGTCCACGGTCTCGTTGTAAGGCGTGCACATGACTCCGGCTACACGATTATAATGAAAAAAAAACAAAATTAACGACGCAATCATGCGAATCGCAAAAAAATCGATCGTACGTACCATTGTTGATGAGAATATCGAGTCTCGACGAGAACTTGCTCCGATAATCCTCGACGAATTTCCTCACCGCGGCCAGACTCGAGTTGTCGAGGCACATCACCGTGGCTATGCCGCTCTCCACGCCCCCGGATCCGCGTATGTCCTCGACGGCCGCCTCGCCAGCCGCGATATTTCGACAAGCTTTCGTGATATATAATATATTTCCAATGTCAAAGTGTCAATAGCGCCGAGATACGATATTACTTTTTATTTTATTTTTTTTTTTTATATGTCATTACCGACGACGACGTGAAGGTCGCATTGGAGCAGCATCTTGACGATCTCCTTGCCGAGGCCGCGCGAACCGCCGGTGACGATCGCCACTCTGCCCGTCAATTTCGGCATCTCTATATATGATATGAAATAATGTGGCAGACGACGCAACAGCATACACATGTGTGTGCTATATATAAGTATAACGGTATACACGGCTCGCTTACACTTACCAGTTGCGTTGGTGCGCGCGTGCCAGCGATCCTCGACGATCCCGGCCAAGCCCAGCCAGGCGAACTTGACCTGAGTCGAGCAGTAGCAGTAGGCCAAGCTCAGGCACCAGCCGATTTTCGACAATATATTGTCCTCGTCCTTGCTCGACGACGACGACGACATCTCGATTCGATCGAAATATTTAAGCGCGAAACTGGCGTGTAAATTCACGCGGCGTAGCGCAGACTACGCACTCGATCTTTATTCGCGAGTGACGATGATGCTGCGATGCTGTGCAAGTACGCGGAGAGGAGAGAGAGATATTTTTAATGATCGCGGCCGTACGGATAGATGGCGCTTTTACGATGATTCTCGGTGAATATTTAATGTATGTACAGTGTACGCGACGATAGGTTTTTTGCGTGCGCTCGGTAGAGCTAATGACACGTGAGAAATTAATTGCTCGAACACGTCGATCGATGACTCTATCCTGTTTTTTATTATTCCATACATATTTGAGTTGTCTAATTAAAATAAAAAAAAAAAGAGGAAAGTATATGTACAAGAGAGAACGAACGTACGTATCGAGCGATACGACGACGTAAGAGCTGCGCTTTTTTTTGCGCGCGCGCTGCTAGCTGCTCGTGTAGCTCGTCAAACGGACTCGGCGAAAAAGTCGTAGTCCCGCAGTCCCACGTGCTTGAGCGACACCTCGAACATGCGATCCTGGGCAGCCTCGTCATCGCAGTACTTCTTCACCCGGGCCTTGCGGCAGTTCGTCATGTACCAGCCGCTGATCCTCTCCATTCGCGGATCGACCCCGGCGTAAACGATCGGTATCGCGCCCTCCGTCAGATTCTACGAATCGGTATAAATATAATAATTTTTTTTCCCCCTCGAAAAATCGGAAAAAATGTTCTACACGTACCTTCAACACGAGCTTGAGCAACGGCTTGAGGTAGTAAAAGGTCGTCTCGTCGAAGATGTCGGTGCCCACGGCGCCCGGATGCACGGCGTTGATGGCCACGGGCACGGAGAGCTCGTCGAACATGCGAGCGAGCTTGCGCACGAACAGCACCTGGGCGAGCTTGCTCTGGCAGTAGGCCTGGCCGTGGACGTAGAACTTTTTGCGATTGACGTCGTCGAAGTCGATGTCGCCGAACATGTACGCGACGGACGAGACCATGACGACGCGCGCCCACTGCTCGTTGGTGGCGGCTCGCCTCAGGGAAGGGAGCAGAAGCATGGTGAGCAGGAAGTGGCCGAGATAGTTGACCGCGTAGATCCACTCGAAGCCGTCGACCGTCTCCTGGTACGTGTTGACGAACGTGCCGGCTAAACGTTGGTAAAACATAATATGAAAGTGATTTCTTCTATTCCTATGTATGAATGCCAATAAAAACACATAAATCCCTTCAAAGTCATTTTACTTCATACATTGTTAGAAATTCAAACACGTAATCAAGTTAAAATAGTAAGATTTATTTTGAAAAAATGAAAAAGATGTATTTTGGAGCTTATCGTGTAGTTTCCTCTGTATAGGAGGAAGTATAAGAACTCACCATTGTTGATGAGAACGTGAAGCTGCGAGTACTTTTTGGTGAACTCGGCGACGAATCCGCGCACCACCTTGAAGTCGGCGTTGTCGAATCTCATGACCTCGGCGCGGCCGCTCGTGACGCCGGATTTGCGAATCTTGTCGATGACCTTCTGGCCCGCTTCGGGTTTTCGACAGGCTGCAGCGGTACAATATATATGTTATCATTGATTCCTCTACATACTTTTGAAATAAATAAGTTCTAAAACAATTGGCGCTAAAATATTGACATACGCTCGTTTCGTGTGTAGTCTTTTTTGAAATTTAAAGTAAGGTAATTTTTTCATTGCAATTTGCTTAGTGAGTTACGGCAGGCATCGTGCAAATATTAAATCATGAGCAGGATTGTCATTTTCAAAGACACATACTTATCGTAAGGCTCACATTTTTTGCGATCACAATTATTTAAAAAAAATCAATCGTTTTTTACAAGACATACGTAAAATGTGCAAGAACTTAAATTTTGAAAATATTGAGTTCGTTCGTTTAGAAAACATTCTCAAAAAGTTCCAAAAATTCATACACCTTTTTATAGACTAAACTTTCCAAGAGTTCATAACAGAAAGAAAACTCTGTGAAAATTTCAAGTCCACACCAACTTTTTTTTGTAAAGTTAATACATTTTTTTTTATAAGAATGAAATCGATTTTTAACTGCAGCATACTCAGAAAAGTCTTATCTTGAAAAGTATCGATAATGAAGTTACATGCTCAAAAAATTTCAAACAAAGATTCTGTTAAATTTTTAAAGATGCTCAATGAATACGTCAAGATTTTAAAATTACTCATATAGCACACACATTATGCCTGTCCATCATCACGGTTCAAACACGGCACTCAATTTTTATTATTCTTTGTTCACAAATGAGATAATGTAGTTTCTTCGTCTACGTACCTACGATGACGGTCATGTCGCACTCGAGCAGCATCTGCACGACTTTGATGCCGATGCCTCGGGCCCCACCCGTCACTATCGCCACCTGACCCGATCGTCTCGGCAGCTCTGCAAACGAAATAAAGAGAATTAAATTAAAAAATAAATCAAACTAGAAAACAACGTAGGCCGTGTAGCTTCTTTATCGCTATCGCGTGCTGTCTCGGCGCATCGCGCGCGATAACTTTTATATTGTTATACAGCGCGGGCACATACCAGTCTTGTTGTGGCGTCTCTGCGTGATCCTGTCCTGCAGCATGCTGTGGCCGCCGATGGCCAAAAATTGCAGATGCACGTAGAGCAGCACCACGGAATACTTGATGGCCCAACCGAGCCGCTGCAATTTCGACCACACACCCATGGTCCCGCACGTCGCGCGCGTACAGCGAACCCTTCGCGTTGTTTTATTTATTTTTCCAGGCTCCTCCTCTCGTTTATCTCGCTTTTATTTTCAATTGAAAAAGTACGAGCGAGCCACCAGCAGCAGCTACAGCAGCACTAGCGAACGGAATGTAGTTATATCGGCTCCGACGAAACTGCAGAGGTGTAGCTCTTTTGAGAAAACTACGCGATCCGTCGAACGAGTGCCAAACGAGTTCTGCTACTTCTTTTTTGTTGTCTCTCTTTCTTCTTCTTCTTCTATCGTCGCGCGATTCGTTTCGCGATCACGAGACTACGATCGACGCGAGCGATTATCGCATACACACACGCACAATGAGCGGCTATACGTTATAATGATAATACGATAATCGCCGTGTATAATTTCGCAGGACGAGAAGAACCAGATCTTGACGACCAACTGCTGGCTGACCCAGGCCTGGACGGATCATCATCTGCGCTGGAACGTCTCGGAGTACGCGGGCATCCGAGTGATACGAGTGCCCTACAACAGGGTATGGCGGCCCGACACTATACTCTACAACAAGTGAGTGTGTCGGCGTATACCCCCTGCTCTCTCTTCTTTTTCTTTTTTTTTCGGCCGCGCGTGCATTATTCATTGGTAATTGCGGCGTTAATAAACGATTGTTTATTTTCTATTTTTTTTTTATTTTCTTTTTTTCGGAGGGCAATTAAAGTTATACGTACAAATTTTTAATGCCTCAGGGAGGCCAGAGAGCTTTTTTTTATAACTGACAAATATTGAATTATGAAGCCAGAGCGGCATTGATTATCGTTTCATATTGTTATTCAAAAAGTTTATCGTCCAGAGAGCCGCGCGCTCGAGGATGCAGCTCTCATTGTGCCTATACGAGAAAATTGAAAAGAAATTCAAAAGCGTCGTCGAGATAGAGAGAGAAAGATCTCTCTCTCTCTCTTAGCAGTATAGTGCCAAAAGTTCGAGACGCGCCCCCCAAAGTGCAGCGAGAAAGCTCGCCGAAGCAGCACCGAAGAAAAGCTGCGATGTAATACGATATCTTATAATGCTGCCCCTTCTCCTCCTTCGGCTTCCCGCCGAGAAATCTCACCCGCGCGCATTAATCAAAATTTTCAACTCGCGAGCGATTTCCATATTATATAATATCGTCAGCTCGCGCGCGAGAACGCGGAAAAGATGTAAAATAACGTTATAACGATTACCATCGATAATTTGATTTCTTTTATTATCATCTTTTTGCTTTCCAACGACGACTATGCAGCGCCGATCCGCAGTACAGCTCGGCGGTGATCAATACCAACGTGATAGTGAGCCACACGGGCGAGGTGGTCTGGCTCAGTCACGGCATATTTCGCAGCAGCTGCGACATCGACGTCGAGTACTTCCCGTTCGACGAGCAGCGCTGCGTACTCAAGTGGGCCTCCTGGACCTACGACGGCTATCAGGTTAACGTCCACAATCAATTAATTATTTATACGCATTAATTAATTAATCAATTAATTATTACATTGTTCTATTGTATCAATAAATACTCTTGCGTTTATACGATGTATATCATGCCTGACACACAAATTTAACAGGAATTTATAATCCTCGTGCTGCGCCGCTGCCGCGCGTGAAATGATAAGGCTTCGCTATACACACACGCATAATAGTCCGCCTCCGAAAGTTTTCAACGCGCGTATATATACAGTGGCGCGGGAAACTAAATTAATACGGCCCAGCTCACACGGCGGTCGGGAAGCTAATACACACACACACACACACACACAAGCTCAAGCTCACGGGTGCGTGGTTTTCTTTGCGGGCGGGTGTGCTTTTTTTTCTGCAGCCTCGTTATATCAACGCAATTAAAATTCCTCGAGGTACACTTTGTCGCGAATCGATGTGTGTGTGCGTGACATATCACACGCGCCACCTGCGGTAAAAGGCCCCCGACGACGTTAATTACTTACTTATAATACGAGTTGCGCGTATCGAACCTCGAGCTCGCGTGGTCGTGTGGGGGGAGGGGAGGAATTAATGACTCGCTGCTGCTGTTGCTGCTACTTTTTGGGGGGAGGAGAGCTTGTGTGCCAGGAGCTTTAAAATGTTTCGGCGCGCGGCCTCTGGGGGGTAGAGAGACGACAAGCGCAGCGAGCTTCTTTATAATAATTTTACAACAACGTAAAACGAGAAGTTATCTTTTTTTTTTATAATCTCTTAACGCACGAACGAATTTTTTTTACCCCTACCCAATGCTGCTGCGACGACGACGATGACGATGATATGCACAAATCTCAACTGCTACGGATAGGATGGAAATTGGGGTAGTAGTCGCAGCAGCAGCGGTGGTGGTGGTAGCGGTTATAGTAGTAGTGGTAGTAACCGTGCTCTCTGCGACGCGATGTAAATTTCACGAAATAAGCCCCTGTGTGGCAATCTAGAATTCAGCGAGTGTACATCTCGGCAATCGCGTTGCTGTACGAATCTTTTTTTTTGCGCTTTTTTTCATCCCGCCTCTGTGTGCTCGGCCGGTCGCATTTCGACAGTTGAATTATCATTATTATTACGCGCGTTTATATGCGCGAGTGATACATGCTTAACGAATTAATCAAACTCTCCGGGTAAAAGCTGGGATTATTAAGCCTATACTGTACTATTTCTCGTCGCTAGTATTATATATTGGCTCGAAATTCGCGCGCGCGTGAGCTTGTTTTTCGCTCGATCGAATGCCAATATGTGTGTGTCTGTGTGACGCGAGCGGAACCCGATTTGTATTTATAACGTAAGCCGATATACGCCGTTACACGCTATATAGTACGCGAATCGAAAAAATCCGAAATCGTTCTCAATATCTCGAATGTATAACTCGATCTCGTCGAGAGAAAAAAAAAACTTGAAAACTGTCGTTCGCGACATCGCGTACGGATTATTATAATGTAATTCTTGTATGCATCTGCTTATCAATCATTTCGCTCGTTTTGAAGCGAAATTGTGACGAACATAAAAAAGTAGGCTAGCTTCTCCTTTGTCCCGGCCGATATATATGAGGTAAATACGTCAAAAATAGAAATGAAAAAAATAATGTACTTTTACAGAGTTACAGCTTATTCCTCATTTTTCATGAATTTTTCATGTTTTTTTATCTTATTTATGCTATCGAATTGTGGCCTTTTGTCTGTCGAAGATCAAATTTCAGGAAAAGTTGTATTATTTCAATTCTATCCTAATCGAAGGATACATAACATTGCACGATCTTAATTGAATTGAATTTGAATTTACTCATTAAATTCTGCATAAAAAAATCACGTTACAACCATTTTTTCATACTCACCCCTAGTTTAACCAGTTTAAAAGAATAAAGTTTGAAAAATGAAAATCCAACTCTGAACCTTTGTAGATCCACGAAATTTTACTCTTAAAGAGTACATAATTTTCTTTCTGCATCTCTATTTTTTGGCGCATCGCGCTCGCGCCGACTCTGGTTCAGCCCATATATATACCTATAATGATACGCGCAACATGAAAATTCGCGAAATCGGATTATGATCGCGCGTGTCACCACAATAAAGCTCGACGACGACGACGACGATTTTTTTGCAACTCACCGTCGTCGCTCGTTATACGTCCGAGAATGGTACGGGATTTTTTTGGGGTTTCATCGATACTAATTGAATTTGCATCGGCTTGACCCGGACGAGCGCATCGTCGCACGCGCGAATCCCCCGAAATTTTTCAAAATAACCGCGAAGAATCTCGCGAGATATTAGATATAGAACGAAACATCTTCTTTATATATTACGCAGTGAAGCTGAATAAAGTGATTGGATCCCCGACATTTCTGATTTAGATTGCTAAAAAAAAGTACAATAATAGCACTATTATAGTACTATAAAAGGACTATTACAGTACTGATATAGTTCTATAAAAAAGTACTACAGTAGTACGTACATAGTACTACTAAATGGTTTTTTTCACTATACTATATCATTTTATTAAATGGTGTTTTAAATTATTTAATTTCATGTACATCTCAGCTGCTCAATAATCCATAAAACTAAAAATCATAGAAAAACAAAACTTACTTCACCCTATAAAAAAACTTTATTTAATAGACTCTTCAATGAATGTTGAATCAATACTATACGGAGAGAAATACTATATTAAATATCAACACATTCGCTAGCCAATATTGCTATGTTCTCTAGAAAAAGAGCTTCATAGTCGATATGTATTCAATTTTTTTTGTGACATAGTAATTTTTAGTGCGGTATGCAGTATTTTTTAGATTGGTAAAATTATTTTAAAATAATAATTTTCTTGAGTGGCTTCCCGAGATGATTTTTCGATTTTTTGAGGGCCCAAAGTATTCGACCTAACCCTGGTTTCTGTGATCATGGGATTATTCCATTCGTCGGTATTTACAAATTAACACTCACTTGTCTCTAGAAATCTAATCTACCTAATAACAGTCGAGTATCAATATTAATGCAACCGGCAGTTTGTACAAAAATTGTTCTACCAATCGGATATATACCAATCGGAAATTTTTCTGCTACTTGTGGGAATTTACCATACTACATCTATTGACGAAATTGAAAAGCTTTGAATATGATAAAAATTGTTACAATACAAAATAAATTTTGAAATACTCATCCTCAAATTTTCTCGTATTTTATATTTAATTTTCTACATATCAATTTTCACTATGTAATATAGCAATTTTTAGAATATCTTATAAATATTTTTGAAGTACAAAGTTACAAAAATAACTGAATATTATAGTCATATTTAGCATCTATATAGTAGAAAATACCCATAGTTCGACTGTGGGGCACTTGTACTAGCGAATACAGTAATATTTGCTTGCAAATGTGTTGATATTTAATGTAGTATTTCTCTCCGTGTGGTAAAAACAACTTTTACAATTTTTGCAACTGTCCAAAATTTCTGATAAATAATCCGAAAACCGAACGAGCGTAACCCTGGTAAAAATGCAACATTTTTACCACGGAAGCGATTGAGGTAAAGCGCTAGCGTCATAGTAATGCGTGTGAAAATATAAAATCGATGCAGTTGCAGCTGGAGAAGCAGAGCGAGCAGGGCGACGTGAGCAACTACCAGCCCAACGGCGAGTTCGACCTCGTCAACTTCACCGCGAAGCGCAACGAGGAGTACTACTCGTGCTGCCCCGAGCCCTACCCGGACATCACCTACGAGATCAGGCTGAGGCGTCGGCCCATGTTCTACGTGTTCAATCTCATTCTGCCCTGCATACTCATCAACGGCATCGGTATCTATAGATAAAAGACGTTTTACAAATTATTTAATTATAAATACAGGATTGGCGCGACTTTTCTTTTCTTTTTCCTTTTCTTCTTCTTCACCGTTTTTTTTTATCGATCTGTGGCGCGTATAATTCATTTGCGACCAATGATTGGATTATATGTCCACAAGGTGTGCGGCGGTGCCGATTTTGCGACGCCACTACTACTATATAGAGATATCAGGAGTCGATTAAGTCGAGCGTGAATTTACGGACGACTCGATCGTCTACGCGCCCGCGCCTCCTCGGGGGTATATAGCTTATAAGCGATAAAATAATATATATCTATATTATAGCCCGAGACAAAAGACTCGATAAAATCTCGCGGCCTTATATATATGACGATATATAAAGGCGATGAATTACAGACTTGCACACTGCAAAATCGATTCTCTCATTAATTATTCATGTAATGTACATCGTTAATCAAAATCTTGGGGCGCGCGTGAGCGAGAAACTATATATTCACGAGCTTTTTCCTAATTCGCTCGATATTGTTTTATCGAGGACGAGTCGCGGCGACACCTTTCGATGATTTTTTTTCCGTCGAAATCGTTGCGCGCGTGACGTATTTACGGCCAAGTGTGAAATTCGTGATATACAATATGACGATGACGAAATTTTCAACTGTCATATTATAATGACGATAATAGCTGTTCCTTTTTAAAAATTCACGAGGATAAACACTGCGAGCGGATACGCGTCAATTTTTTATTTCTATCATTATATAAAGCATAATTCGAGCTGAAATAAAATAAACACACGTACGTACGTTAGTCGTCGTCATCATAAATATTTTCAATTCTCTGCCCTACATCTATATCCCATATATACACATGCACTTTGTGACGAGCGATTTTCATTTCCCACCCAACCCCTTCCCTCGCGGCGTTTATATATTTATTATACACTTTTTTGCCGTTGTCTGTATCCACTGCTGCGACTCGCTCGCGGTCACTCAACGGAATTGTTTTTTTGCGCTTCGATACCTCGCCAACTAATCATTCTCTCTCTCTCTCTCTCCCTCTGTCACTCGACGCGCCGTTTGAGAAATTAATTTTTTTTTACTTTTTCGTTCCTTTCCACGCGAAAATCTCGTTTTTTCAAGCTGTGTGTATGTGTATGCGTGGCCGATTTTCCCGCGCGTAGGTAGTCTCTTTGAAAATGCGATTCGGAAAAAGGATTTATTTGTTAAACAAAGGCGGATAAAAAGAGACCGGCGGTGCGTGCGTAACTCGGGCCGCGCGCGTTTATACTCGCGAGCTCGCACACACACAAAAAAAAAAAAAAAAAAAAGATAAAGACGCGAAAAAAGAAAGACAGCTAGACGACGAAACAGAGAGAGAGAGAGAGAGAATGGATTTCGCCGAGAGCCAATTACTTCGTAGCTACTAACTGAAAGCGCGGAGTTTTTCGGCCGGGCCTCGACGCGCGCATAGTACTACGCGTTGTAAAATGAAAAGAACCGGGCGAGCGAGAGGGAAAAAACCAGCCAGCTTGATTTCGATTGAAATTGACACTTACTACAATCCTCTGCACTATATTACGTGCATGTGTGCGCTGAGCGAGCAGCAGGGAAAAAATTTGCAGCTACGTACAGTTTCTGAAAAACAAGACGAAGTTTTTATTTTTGTCTGTGTGTGTATGTGTGTTACAGCTCTGCTGGTGTTCTACGTGCCGTCCGAGTCCGGGGAAAAGGTCACGCTGGGAATCTCGGCGCTGCTCTCGATGACGGTCTTCCTCATGACGATTAGGGAGACTCTGCCGCCGACCGAAAAAACGCCGCTGATAAGTAAGTTTATAAGTCTACAGAGGCTGACGATTGCCAGTCTCGCGCGCGTATATATGTGTGTGTGGGAGGCGGAGCAGATTACTTTAATTCGATTTTTGAGTTCTCTATCCTTCCACGCGGCAGAAGTTTTAGTTCGCGCGGAGAATTCGGTGCAGTGGTGGACCATGAGCTTTTAAACGAATCGGACGCACGACGAGAGTTGGGTTGTAGTAAATTTTTGATATGTTGGGTTTTGAATTGTTTTGGACAACGGTTGTTATCCATCTTTTTTTCAAAAATTGATGTGATGCATAGAGAAAACAGTTTTGAAGTGCAGGACGTTAAGTAAGTCGCAAAAAAACTCGTAGACATGGACCCGAGGAGTGCCATATGTTATTAGCTTCAAATTGAATAATATGTTCTCATTTTTCTCCAAAAAATTTATTGACTTTTAAGAAATTGAACACTTTTTTTAAATAATTAAATAATATTGAAGGTTTAAATAAAATTATTATAAATGAATATTTTTCAAATAGTCTTCCAAACGAATAAATTACATTTATACGTTAAATATCATAGTTATTTATATTAAATTTTATACGTTTATTTAGTTGTGATGAGTGAATGATGTACCTTCTTGATGTGTTTTTTGAGATTGCTCGTGTGTGCGAATGTCTTTTCGCATACACCGCATGTATGAGTGACGCCGATATGCGCCTCATCGACGTGGGCCAAGAGTTTGTACTTACTTGTGAATTTCTTTTCACATATTTCACATGTATGTCTGACGCCATTGTGCACTGAATCGATATGAAATTTTAGATAAGACCTGCGTAAAAATGACTTTCCGCACTTATCACATGTATTTCTGATACCATTGTGGGCCGCATCGATGTGTCTTTTAAGATCAGGCTGTGTTGAAAATGACTTTTTGCATGTATTACATTCATGTTTGACACCATTGTGGGCTACATCGATGTGGGCTTTGAGATTACTTTTTTGAGTACAAGACTTTCCGCATACATCACATGCATATGTGATACCCTTGTGGACTGCTTCAATGTGGATTTTGAGATGAGCTTTTTGAGTAAAAGACTTTCCGCATACATCACACGCATATGTGATACCCTTGTGGACTGTTTCAACGTGGATTTTGAGATTACCTTTTTGAGTAAAAGACTTTCCGCATATATCACATGAGTGGGTAATACACTGATGTATTGATTGGACATGCCTACGCAGACTACTTCTGTGTGCGAATATCTTTCCGCATATTTCACATGCCCTGGTTGTATCATTATGCACTGTACCGATGTGTGTTTTGAGGTTACACACATTGTTAAACTTTTTTTTAATTTTTCCTATTTTATATCGTTTGACAAGTTCACAGTCTATATTCAAATTCAGTTGTTCTCCAACACTTTCTTGTTTCGCTTCTTCCGCAGTTTCTATTATGATTGAATTTTGAGTTTCACAACTATCAGTATCTTTCATATCCTGCATGAAATTTTGAGAGTCTTCTTCAACTTTCTTGACTGCCAATAAATGAATGTTAGGCTTGACGTCTTCGCATTCAACAACTATTTCCACTCCGTCATCGGGTTCATTTTTAACTTTAATGTCACATTTTCCAAGGATATTGATCTGTTGAAAAATCAAAACTACGTTAAAATTTTCAGTTAAAACCCGAAGGAATACTTATAATTATCAACACTTACCGAATTTTCCAGTGGGTGTGGTAAGAGTTGAAAGTTTTTTAGATCGGGTTTCTCGTCAATCATTTTGCGATTATTTTGAATAAGCGACACGTCACTAGGCTCCTCTTTCACTCTAACATAAAACCAGTAAATAAGTGTTAGGTTATAATACATTTTTTGTGCTACCCCAACCTAAAGGAACATTTTACTCCCGCTGAGTAAAACCAAAATGTTACTTTAGGCTGGGGGATTCTCAAAAAATTGTATTTGCACCTATAAAGCGAAAAAAGAAAATCTCAGAGCACGTGATTATCAACCTCGGCTTCGCCTCGGATGATAAATTACACGTGCTCTGAGACTTTCCAGTTTTTCACTCCCTAGGTGTAAAATATACTATAAATGTATCGTTTGTATAAAATGGACATAATTACCTGACAGCACGATCGACTATGTCACTCGATTTCATTTTTCTCACTCAGAGTTCAACGGCAATCAATCTTTCTGTGGTGATTTTGCGTATCAAACTAACTTGAACACTATCCTGGCGAAAGATTGACCAAGAGCGATATGCTCTCTTCTCGCTTGCTTGAAAAACTGTGCCTTGTATGTGGGCTAAGAGAGCCCTCTAGCTCTATCACGGTATATGCACGGCAAAATACCGCGAGTCGGGCGGGCAACACACGAGTTCATGCAGGTGACATATATAATATGACCTACGACGTAAACAACAACCAGTTTTATCCGTGTAAAGCAAAAATTATGCTAAATTTCGAAGTTATCGATGTAAAAGAAGCCATAAGAAGAAATTACATTATGCAAACATTTTTCTACCAAAAATGATTCTTTGCTGCACGCGCATGTACCGAATCCTTCAAAGTTAATCGTCCACTGCAATATATATTTAACGCTCGTACAACTGCAGTAAATTAACTTTACCTCAAACATAAATATACGAAATTTCAATTATTCCTCACTCTTGTATTTATCTTTCGCTAATTTTCACGTGTTGTTTTCACACTCGTATAAGGTCTGTACTACGGGGTGAGCATATGCCTGGTATCTTTCGCCTCGGGCCTGGCCGTGGTCACGCTCAACATACATCATCGTGGCGTGCGCGGCGTCCGAGTCCCCACGAGCGTTAAGTCTCTGGTCCTCGACAAGCTGTCCCGAGTCGTTTTCTTCAAGTTTCAAGAGGAGTATCCACAGCAACAGCAGCAGGACGGGTTGCCGAAGAGGAACAATAGTTGTCCGATGCACGGCAGTAGCAGCAGTCACAGAGAAGGGATGAGAGGAAGCAGTCCGCCTTCGCCCGCTGCTGCTGCTTACATAGCGCGGAGACACGCCAACAACGATCGCAGCAGTCCGAATTTAGGTTCGTCTTGGGGTAGTTCTAAAAAAAATGCATGCCTTGTGTCTTGATTAAACCAGTCCGTTAGTGGTTGAATTCGACCCTCCCAGCTCGCGGTTTTAATGTATTTTGTACGTAACTTAAACTTCGATCAATTTCGGAAATTTTTTGAAGGATTATTCGAAAATGTTTAGCCGAAAAGGCGCAAAATGTCATTGTAATCACGCAACAACGAGTTCGGAAAAATTTTTCATTGTCGCGAACATTTTCGCTACCAAAGCATTTTAAAAGTTGTAAACGATAAGCAACGAGAACGTTTTACCACCACCATACTGATTTTTTACTTCTATTGAGAGTTATCCAAATAGAAATGTTGTTTTTTTGTTGAAAAAGTGACAAATGTAAAATTAACAATTTTTCTGAATAATACAACTTTAGAAATGAAAAATTAAGACGGTGGCGATACAGTTTTCTCTTTGCTCGTTATGTATAACTTATGGATTTTCCATAATGGTTAATAAATTGATATATCGTTTTACTTCATTTTTGAACACGTTTTTGCGTGATGACAATTACATTTTGCGCCTTTTTTGACTGGTATTTTTGAATTATCCATTGATTAAGTTAAATACAGAATACATGAAAAATGCAAGCTTGGTGGGTCTCATTTAACCGCCAATTGCCCGTGTATTAGCCAAGACACACGATAACCACTTTTTTTTAGATTTGCCCATATACATAATTGTCTTTCGACCGACTGTTTTATAAAACCACTTATCCTCTCTGCAGAATCGAGCAAGGACAATAACGCATCGACGACTCTGGACGGCGGCAACGGCCAGTGGTCGCGCGTGATCGGCCGCGTCCAGGCGACGATCGAGCGCAACGAGCGACGCCTGCTGGAGCAGGACAGCCGCGAGCGCACCGAGCTCGAGTGGAAGCAGGTCGCGCTGGTAGGCGATCGGGTCCTGCTGCTCATCTTCTTTCTCACGACGGTGGTGAGCACGGCCGTGATACTGAGCAATTCGCCGCCCAACGACGGCCAGTCCGTCATTCAGACTTGAATTTTCGACGCGCCGAGTTTACGCGCAGAGGGTGAAACTATACGCGGAGCGGCGGGGCATTTTGTTTTTCAATTTTTCAATTGTATAAAATTGTAACGACGTACATGATATTCATTCATATTGTACTATGCCTATGCGGAAGGAAATTCGTCCGCCGATGTGTGTGGCACGACAAATTTACTCTCGGTGCATACATTACTATATAGCTGTTGTTCGTTATTGTCGAATGTTACAGGGAGTTTAGATAAATATATGCATACAGTATTCACTTGATTAATGTAATTAAATTTATTCAACGATTATAGCATAATTAAAAAGAAAAAAAAAGAAACAAAAGATCAGGGGTTTTTCTTCTCTTCTCTTCGTATCAAGGCCCTGGTAGAATTCCTCAAAGCGTTTGGACAAGTTTTTTTAGCAAAAAAATGTCTTATAGTATCTTTATGGGCGTGATAATGCATCACATTTATTTTATAACCATTTTACTACCATAACAGTACGACAAGTAGTAGATCAAGAGGTGCGGTAGCACCTAGCCGGCAAAGTTTAAAAAAAAAAATTATAAAAAAATTTTTTTCAAAAAAAATTATTAAAAAAAAAATTTTCGAGAAGAAATTTTTCAAAAAAAATTGTTTTATGAAAATATTTTGTTAAAGAAATTGCTGATGAAATTACTGCTCTGACTTATATTATAGAATAGTTTTAATTTTTCCACTTGCAGATTAACACATAGTGGTACTCGCCATCTACTGGAGGCTTCAATTAGTACTATAGTATTCATTAGATCTGGTCTAAAATTTTGGAACAATTAAATTATAACTCCAGATCATTCGAAGAGCGCTTGATATTTCTAATATCATCATAACAGAAACAGAACAATACCGTTTAATAGTATATTTGAAAATAATTAAAATTAAAAATTTTTATCAATATACTAATGTAAGGTCTATGTGTTTAGTCATCTCAAAAAGTACTATAAATGCACGAACTTCGGCCACGATTGAGTTTTTAAAAAATTGGATGCGTGCTAAAAGTGGATCTGTCATCGATTTGTAGCAGATTATTTTTGTGAACTGTTATTATTATCTCTTTTGAAATTGTATTTATTTCATGGCGAGAATATCTTTGAGGCAATTCAGTTCCATGGATATTAGCGCGCCGCGAAGCTAAGATAACATTCTGGGTTATCGAAGCGCGTTGAAAAATGACTGGTATTATGAAATTGACATCAACTTATAGAGTTGAACATTTTATTTTAACTTGAAATTACCGATGAGCTTTTATTTTATTTTGAATACTTATCGTTTTTTACAAAACTTAAACATGGTTTCCATACATAATTAGATAATCGTTAATATTAGATAAAGTTGTTTATTAAGAACCAGTTGTGAGCGTTGATGGATGCTATTTTCTGAAACTCAGAATCTTTCCTGAAAAATTGAATAATCGTCAGTGGCCCAATGATGTAGAAGCCTCAAAGTTGAAGTTTTTATTGGTCATCTTGCGTGCCCGGCAGGCCTCGCGATTTACGCGACCGACGGATCGGTAGTTCAGAGCTCGCAGACGCCACCGACTCACTACTTCTACATCTCTTCTTTTGGTTGATCGGCCTTGATTTTAATTGATTTTCGCCTGTCTGCTGGCATAAACGGAACAGATCTTCGTCGCTCATGTGTTCGGCAATTTTAAGGCAAGCAAGATACGGAAGGTTTAATTGACAATGATCCGTCATAAAAAGATCGGCTACAAACCATTCCAGCTGTCGCCGAATTAAAACGTTTGCCAAGTGTCTTTTTGCGATGATGTTCACGTACGTACACGAAAGATCGTCCATTGCGGGTAATCGCCAATTTTTTATACCTTTTATCAGCGAATAACCATTACTGTAGCTCATTCGGCACATTTGATACAGCGAAACGTTTTCGCTGAGCATGATATTTTTTGTGCGCTCAACTTGAGCTGTCAAATCGTTAATTGCTTCTCGAGGAAAAAATCGGTGATATTCACTCGGATTTAAATTTCTTAATTCCTCGCATTTTTGGCGCAAGAAACCTTCAGCTTTTTGTGTAAGATGAAATCCGTACTTATCATGAAAAAATATTTTCTTCTCGATCTTGTCCTTGTTAAATATTTTCGATGACTCTAAAAGAAAAAGAAATTATTTTAAAAAATTATTCACCAGTAAATTTAATCTATGATTGGTAAAGTGAAATATGACTTACCGGTATCATCGCTGATTAGATGGTCTGTATCGTTTCCTCGAATTTTCATCCAATATTTTATCATTCTGAGTCTTGCTTGTAAACTTAAATTGTATCCAGCTGACTTCAACAAATGAGTCATCTCAATTATGTTGAGAGTTAGTGGATAATTTTTCAATTCCAGTGGTGTGAATGTCATGTTGAAAATTTTATTCTCGTTTAAATTGTCGATCTTCGCTCCATACTTCAAAAATGTCCTCGTGAGCTCAAGGTCAAGTCGAGAAACCGACAGACCTAGTGGAGTGTACCCTTGACAATTACGAGCTTCGATATCTGCTCCGTTATCAATGAGCATTTGAACGAGTTTATCCACTGGTTTCCTCTTATCACAGAATTTTTCGCAATCGGTGCACTGACATAGACACAGCCGAGCCAGGGCGTGAAGAGGCGTGGATTCCTCTGCGTCTCGCTGATTTGGATTGGCCCCGTGTGTCAATAAAATTTCAACAACTTCAGCGTGTCTGTACTGGGCTGCTAAATGAAGCGGCGAACACGTGTATGTGTCGAGATTGACGTCCACGCCTTGGCTCAAAAGTAAATTCACTGCACTCACATTGCCAGACATACAAGCTCCATGTAAATATGTATATCCGAGATTGTCTTGATAGTTTTTTTCTGGACTCTCCAATAAGTAATCCATGATCCTTAGGGTTAATACTTTTAAATTTCCTTCGCACGACAGGGGTTCATCGTTTCCTTTGTATATTACTTCAGCCAAATAATGCAGAGCAGAATGTCCATCTTCGAATCTGACCTCGTGTATTTTCAAGTTATCTGCCTCGATCAGTTTTATCATTTTTAAACAGCGTCTGACTAAAGCAGATTTTAAGAGATTTTTTTTGTCTCCAACACTGGGATATAGACTGTTCATTACCTGTATCACAATTTCACTCTCCATACCACAACTTACGGTGCGAAACATTAAATTGCTTATAATTTCCTCTTTTTTTTCACTTCCCAACCAATCGTTATTGGTTGCCATTTTAAATTGATCCGTTGATAAAAGTAAATTCCACAATCAAAAATTTTCTACAAAAAAAAAAAAAAATTATAGCTGATCACTGAACACGTGGTCGAGTTCACTACTGCACTGGCGTCTGGCACTCGAAAGAGAGAGTATGCTAATGGTTGGATGCGTGTTTCCCTACTGCGGCACATGCAGACATAGCGGCGACGTAAGAAGCAGCTAAAGACAGCTCTACATCATTGGAAAGTGAAATCATCCCGCACTCTTCGTTTAGTCAATTGATGCGTCATGTAACGGTCATTGACCAAGCTCCGCCCACCTAATTGGGAATACAACGCCGGCGCAATTATGGACCTGGCTAGCCGCCTGATTTGATCATCTGGGCCAAATCTAGTTCCAGCCATGGCCCTGATTAGCAATTTAATATGGTTCAATGATAAGTATTTCCTGAAACCAGGGTTAGTGTCGGGCCTCGTCAGGGCCTGCAAAAATTTCTTAAATGCATTTCTCCCGTGAAAAACTCGATATATCGATGCTGTTAACGAAAACTAGCACGTGTACATTATAAAATATATAGAAACGTACTAATGTCGATAACAGCGTCTATATTTGGGCCTCTAATGAACCTGAAGTTTTCTGATTTTAAAGTATTACTTTAAAATATAATAAAATACAAAGAATTAAAAATTGAAAATAAGTAATGTATTGATTTTATATTTATTATCAAAATACAACATATTGCATACTATTATATCTAGTAAAGTACATTCTAGTCTGATCGTTGGTATTTTTGACATTTGTGCGTAAGAATATTTTCAATTGATTTCGTCGAAAAAACCGCACAAGTAAAACTTGGGATTCTTTTGTTCTTTTCAACGGGTTCTAGATTTTCACTCGCGCTATGGTGCCTCGAACATCGACTCTTTGATGCGGTGCTCAACGGCGGCCATTGTAAACTAATAACATAAGAGTTCGCTCACCGTTACGATTATTATAATTGATAGTCAATCAATTTCCAGTATGAAAATCGCGCGCGTATCATTCGACATTCTTTCATTCCCAACGGCTTGTACATTTTAATCATTTGTGTAAACTCGACAGGCAGACTAGTCAACTAAACTACTAATATCTGAACAGTGCAACTTGATAATAAATATTGAATGGTGAAGCATTCAGCCACTAGTAATATCTGAATTGTACTGTTATTGTTGCTTCAAAGTTTTGTCTTGACTCTTGTGTTTGGTAAAACACTTGCAGCATTCAAAAAAGTAAATCAACTATATTCACAAGTAAGATTCATAAGCATTGTCAAATGTTCATCTGATCTTGTGTGATTGTGGCTTCCAAACTCGAGTTTCATGAAATTTCGTAGCTCTCAATGATATAATTTTTATTATTTCTGTTTAGAACAAACTATTAGTCGTTCATAAAATATTGATGTCAAGATACATGAAACGTACCTTTCTTTGGCACAGTTTCATGTACTATTCTTTTTTCTGGAGTAGTCCCTGTGAGTCACCAATTTATTTTTCACTTGACAAAAAAAAGATATCAATATGATATCGAGTTAAATTAAACTAATCAATTTAATGACATTTTCTTACAGTTTTTTTTGTCTACCTTTTTTATCTGAAATTTTAATTGTCAAAGCTAGAACTAAATAACATAGTACAATTATTTATCAATGCTTGTTACTCTGACATGTAAATATTATTCTTTTATACCTGTAAACGCTATTAATAATTCACAAAACTTATATGTCAAGATGAATATAAGTCTCGTTCGAGATCTCGGCTCAGCCACTCGGGCTCTCATTCTCATGCACTCGACCAAATTGGAACAAAGTCTTCTTCCCTCTCTAAGTCAAAAAATACGTCAAACTCTGAAAACCGACCTGACGATAGACACAAGTCTCGTTCGAAATCTCGGCTCAGCCACTCAGGCTCTCATTCTCATAGAATCAACCAAACCGGTTCGAGATCTCGTTCCCCTCGCTCGAGATCTCGTTCTCGGTCTCGGTCACTTTAGATATGCTACCCACTACCTGCGGTAGCAACCGAACTTCGAATTTTGGCACGCTCTACGGTGTTGGTTATGTTTTTGTTTGTATACATTTTCCAACTGTTGTTACAGTATGTGCGCGCATGAGTGTGTGTCGGCAGTGCGGTATGATGTAATGATCCGTTTCGTCTGTCGAAACGGATCCGTTTCGCCCGTAGAAACGGCTCCGTTTCGCCCGTAGATACGGTTCCGTTTCGCCCGTAGAAACGGCTCCGTTTCTGCCAGACGAACCATATTTCTATCAGTGTGTAGTTATGAATAACAGAATGATCAATAATGAATATGAGAGACTGCCTAGCGCAGAAATGACCTTGGAGACTCTGCGCCTTCGCCGATTACCTAAACTTCGAACTACGCCAGACCGCATGAATAAGAATCGACGCTTGAGTATACGTACAGATCTCATGTTTATCAAAGCAACGCACAGTATTTGTGATAATTTTAATAAACAAGTCTTTATTTTTTTGTTAATTTATAGCCGATGGAATCAAAATAGACCACAATCACTCTTATAAGTTTGTAAAAGCTCACGCAGATCGCTGCTACATGCGGTACAAGCGAGCAAAGTTAATTAACAAAGGTATATTATTTCAGAATTTTTATCATTTATATCATTTTAGTACTTATTAATAAAATAATTTTATTTTTAGCTTACATACCACCAGAAAATTTATACACGAAGCTTCCTAATAATACGGTGAGTCTACTAAATTGCATTATTATTATACACACACGCAAAAATAAAAAAATATGTTTAGAAAACATTTATTCGTTTTTTTCAGATTGATCTTGGATTAGGCATTACAGTAGGAAAGAAGTGTTGGGCCATTATGAAAAGAAAAAAATATTCCCTTTTTGTAAGGGAACTGGCACATTATTTTTATTTTGAGTATGGTTGTTTTGCAATGGCACGAGTTAGACGCGATGATCCAAATCGCCTTCATGAAAATGTGCCGCATTCGTTTAGCTGCCCAATAGAATTTAAGGGATATATGCAGATTCAATTTAGTAACAAGAGTTATGGTAGTCATCGGGTATGTGGAAAATAAAGAATACCAAATCCAATGGAATGACATACTAAGAATAATGGAATTATTCGATACGAACAGGCTATTCCAGACTGAAGAGGACCGTAATGAACGCTGGTGGGAGGATGAGATGCTGAAGAAAAAATAAAAAAAATTAGAGTTATGAACAAGCTGTCACTCTACCAACTTGTACGAAACGACTATATTTAACTCACATACTCGATCTATTTATTCGCGTGAATTACACTATTTCTCTGTGCCACCTAGCGGCGACACGGCTCACTACAATACACACATCAAGTGATATGGGACGAGGCCGGTGAAAATGATGTTACACAAGAAGTAACAAATTTTATGAGTAATGATAGAAGACCAGTGAGGGTCAAAAATCCCCCAAAAGACTAAGAATAGATTGGTAGGGGTTGAAAATAATCTTTTTGGTTCTTCGAGAAATTGTAAATAGTACATACAACAATAGAAAAACGCGTTTATACCATATATTTATTTTGAAAATGATTATTTGAGGAAAAAGTTTTTGATATTTTACGTTTAAAGAATAACGACAGACACGATACGCCTGTATTATATGAAAATAAACTTTGGAAATCAACCATGCAAATATTGAATTACTTTATAAATTACTCAGTAATCGACGCATTGTATTTGCCGAAAAATTTTAATTATAAGGAGAAAAAATCGACTCGAACGAGTCGCAAATAAGACTCGAATTTTCTTTTTTAATTGCTTGATCAAACGACACGATAGAGTATAGTCGTCGTTCAAATACGTATTAAGTATTTTGTATTTGTGCGAAAGCAGTATCGAAAGATGACTCGAGTCGACGAAAACAGTTCGAATCTGTGGAAAAGTTTACTGGCAAACGTTAACTGAAAAGTCGAAAAAGAGCGACGCGATATTCTTCGCCGAGTAACCCGTTGATTGAAGATTGACACTACGGCGGAGCTCGAAAACCATAGACTTTTGAACCTCAGTTGATCTAAAGAGTCTGTATGTAACGCGTGCGTGTAGGAAGAAGCTCTGTGATGAGCTTAAAAAGTTTTTTCTCAATTTTTCTTCTTCAATTTTGTGTTACTTTGACCATTTGCTATGTAAAAAATAATTTATCGTAAAAAATAAAGCACGACTTATAAAGATCAGTTTCTATTCAGCGTTTTAGCTTTAATTTAAGATTCTTTAATTTTATGATTTTGTTTATTAATAAATGTTCATCTTTCGTAAATTTCCAAAAATCAGGTAGTTTTCTAAATATTTGTATAAGAATCATGAAAGAAGGGCGATTTTTTAAGATACTTGGCGTTAACTAATTAAATAATCGATCTTATATTGGAGGGAGAGAATGAGGGAAAAATGGATAAAATGAACGAGTAGACGTTATCAATGGTTACATACACAAGTTACAATTTATTCAGGGTGACTCAAACATACAGATGCACAGATCGTCTTCCACCTACATAGGCTTACTGAAGTGGCGATCTTGGCGCACAATCCTCGGTGTCTGCGTAGATGACTCAATAGACCAAGGGCCAGATGGAATTGACTGTCCAACAGTGGCTGCATCTTCATAATGAATTACACTTCGCATACACTTCGCATACATGTGTCACAGAGGTGAGGTTGTGGATCTTTATGAACTGAATCAACATGCAACTTGAGATGAGCCTTTTGTGTAAACGTCTTTCTACACAAGTGACATGGATGTTTGATACGATTATGCACCAAATCAATCAATAATTTTAGACTACCCTTTCGTGTGAGCTTTTTTCCATACGATTTACATGTGGGAATTGCACCACTATGCTGCTTATAAATGTGTCTTTTGAGACTGCGCTTGTAGACGAATGATTTGCCACACATATCGCATGTAAGTATATTGCCATGGTGCACCAATGCTGTGTGGTAATTGAGGTAGACCTTACTTGCGAATGCCTTTCCGCATCTATCACAAGTATATTTGATATTATTATGTACCATATCGATGTGAGTTTTGAGATCGCGTTTCGTTGAGAATTTTTTTCCACATATTTCGCATGCATAAGTGATTTTTTTGTGCACTATATCAATGTGGACTTTGAGATTACCTTTTTGTGTAAATTTATTTCCGCAAATATCACATGCATGCATAATTTGATAGTGCACCGAATCGATATGCTTTTTAAGACTACTTTTTAGAATGAATGTCTTTCCACAAATATCACATGCATGTGAATCACCATTATGTACCGAATCTATGTACTTTTTGCGAGTTTGCTTCGAGGCGAATGTCTTGCCGCATGTATCGCTCGCATGGGCAATTTTTCTATGAACTGAATCAATGGGAATTTTGATATTACCTTTTTGTTTTAATGTCTTCTGGCACATATCACATGGATGCGTGATTTTTTTGTGCACCGATTCGATGTGGGTTTTAAGATTACCTTTTCGAGTGAATACCTTTCCATAAATATCACATGCATGTGAATCACCGTTATGCATCGCATTAATGTGTCTTTTGAGATTACTCTTGCCTGAGAATATCTTTTGGCATATATCGCATGTGTTCGTGATTTTATTATGCACAGAATCGATGTGAGTTTTGAGATTACTCTTTTTTGAGAATGCCTTTTGGCATGCATCACATGGATGCGTAATTTTCTTATGCACCGACTCGATGTGAGTATTGAGATTACTTTTTTGTGTGAATGTCTTTCCACAAATATAGCATGCATGTCGAACTCGATTGTGCACTGAATCGATGTGGATTCTGAGATAACCTTTAGTTGCGAACGACTTTTGACATTTATCGCATGAATAACTGGTTTTATTATGCACCAAATCGATGTGGATTTTGAGACTAAATTTTTGTGTGAACGTCTTTTGGCATACATCACAGGCATGTCTAACACCATTATGCACCGAATCGATGTGGGTTTTGAGACTGCACGTTTGTGAAAATGTCCTTCCGCAAATATCGCATGCATGTCGAACTCGATTGTGCACTGAATCTATGTGGATTCTGAGATAACCTTTAGTTGCGAACGACTTTTGGCATTTATCGCATGTATAACTGATTTTATGATGTACCAAATCGATGTGTCTATTAAGACGATATCTTCGTTTGAAAATACTTCCGCAAATATCACATGCATGCGTGATACCATTATGCATGGACTCGATATGGATTCTGAGAACATTCTTTCGTGTGTATTTTTTTCCGCATACGTGGCATGTGTGGGTGATTTTTTTGTGCACTGCATCGATATGGATTTTGAGACTATGTTTATATGAAAATGTCTTTCCGCAACTATCACATGTATGCTTGATTTTATGATGCACCGGATCGATGTATCTATTACAATGCACAGATTTAATGCGACTTTTGAGATTATTCTTACATGATGATGTTTTTCCTCGTTTGTCACAATTTTGGGTGTTATCGCTATCCTTTGATTCTTCTGTGCCACTTTGTTTTTTATTTTGTTCAACGTCAAGATTTAAATTCAATTTTTCAGCAGCGTCATCAAAAAATTCCTGTTTAACTTCACCCCTAGTTTCTGTTTTATTAACCACTAATAAGTCCCTATCGAGTTTCACGTCTTCGCATTCAAAAATTATTTCCATATCTTCGTTGTGTTCACGATCATGATTAAAACTCGATTCTACCGCAAAGTCGTCACTGATTTCTTGTTTCACTTCACTCACGGTTTCTATTTTAATTGCAGCTTGAATTTCACAACCATCGCTATCTTTTTTATTCTTCATATGATATTGAAAATCGTCATCAATTTCTTGATGCATTTGGATCTGCAATACAATTGAATAAAGATTAAATTATGTTTAATCGCATGTAGCGATATCACTGCTTACTGAATTTTCTGTCGAAAATGGTAAGCATTGGATTTGATTAAGATCGGGCTTCTCGTCATCCATTTCGCAATCATTTTCGATACGCCACACATCAGTAGACTCCTCTTCCGCTCTACAACGATAAAATCAATAAAGTCAATTTTTTCACAATAATATTACTAACATTTTATTCCCTTAAAATGATATTTACCCGACAGCACAGACTAATTTACTAATATCCATCTCACTCGCTTGAAAACGATCGAACTTACGACGCGACGTTCGAGCTCCAACTGCGTGGAAAACGTGGCGATGAAGTGTTTCTGATAGGTCCTTTTTGTTTTCCCCACATTCAATTTACTGCGCATGCATATTACCTCAATCCTGTAGCTACGCAGGGTTACGATGCGGTCCTTGTCAAGCCCTTCGCATATCGATTCCGAGCATCTAAAAATATAGCGAGCCACATGCAACCTTACGAATACCTCATAGCTCAACTGAGGCTATTTTACTCGTATTTATGACAATTTTAATCACGATCTCATCAAGCTCAACCAAAGTATTATCATTATTGTTATTATTAATTATTTATTAAGCTACATTTTACAATTCTTAAGTAACACAATTTTAAAATTGCAAACAAAATATGCGATTTATCTGTACATAACACTCTCTATACTCTAAGTACGAGAGTAAAAATTAACAAAAATTATACCTACACGATACTTTTCATACGCATGAGAAATTATCGTATTCGTGACAAACACGAGATCTCAGTGGATAAGCATTCTATCCAAATTCTGTCACTTCATCGGTCACGTTATGATATTGAAATTCTGTTGTGGCTAATAAAAGTATTTATATACTCTGTCGGAATTCAGACTTATTTATAAGTAATCCAACATGTGATATTAGCTAAGGCCAATCGCGAATTGTCTGTTGAGATTAAAATATTATTAATCATTATCATCAAATACTTTATTTAAATAGCTAACCGTAACTGTAACTGACTTCGTGTTTGCATAAAGTTGTTTTGGTTTAAGTTAAATAATGTTTATCCATTACGACTGGAGGACAAGTAGATCAAAAAGTGTATCATAGTTATAATCAAAAAAGATAATACTTTGCTGTAGTTCAAACTTATTAATAAGTCATTGAACAGTTAATATTAGCAATACTAATTTCGACAACTTGAAGAAAAAAAAATTCGTTCGAAAAATTCCCGTTACGTTTTCAGGTTTGGCCATCAATTTGTTTTCAACGAACGACTTTATATGTGGCTATGAAGACCGATCGACCATGAAAAATTGTTTAGAGACATCAAAGCCGTGTCCTGCACTAATTCAAAATACTATACAGCGCGCGTGTCTGGTCAAAGCTTTCAACACTAAAAGCCATGCGCTGCATCGAGAATCGATCAGCTTTTTATTACAAAAAAATCAAAACAGAGGCACATAGGAGAAAGCTCAGTGCTACTATTTTAATTGTGCTTGAAAAGTTCTCGCGTATTATAGGGTGAAATTTCCCCAGGAAGCGATCGGGGTACTTTTTTTTAACCGTGTCAATTTTAACTCATTTTTTGAAGGCTTTTTTATAATTTAATTCTAGCTGATGAAATTTTCGACCAGGACTTAACTTCGGTAACACAAAATAGGATGGATGGATACATAGAAGTAATCATACAAACTTTAGTTCAATCGTCATTTTTTTTTTTTCATCAATATGCCTAAGATATAAAAATGAGAACGATAACATTTATTTACAATAAAATGAACAGTCGGCGAGGTATACTAAATTCGACTAGGGAAATTTGTCACGCTCGTTTATTTTCTACGCAACATATTCTGTATCTCGTTGAGGGACTTTCCCTTGGTCTCGGGCAGCAGCAGAGCCAACGGCACACAGAGGCTGGAGAACGCGACGAGCCCGCAGAAGACCCACTGGTCGCCGAGCTCGTCGGCGAGCGGCCGATACGACCTGAGCACGGCGAAGCCGCTGAGTGCGCCGCAGAGCGACGCCAGGCAGCCGGCCGCGCCCTTGATGCCGTCGCCGCAGATCTCGCTGAGTACGGCGTTCGGCACTCGGGCCAGGCCGATCGCGTAGAACACCAGATAGGCGACGACGCAGCTCGGCGTCAGCCAGCCGAGGTTGTCGACGTCGTCGTCGGCGTCGCCGTGAAAGTAGGCCGCGGCGAGGCCGGCATTGGCCAGGGCGCAGCCGCAGCCCGACACCATCAGCAGCGGCCGCCTGCCCAGCCGGTCGACCAGATTCACCGTGGCGAGGGTCGCCAGGCTCGAGATCGCGTTGGCGCCGATGACCAGCTGCTGCGTAGACTCGACATGGATGGACCGGCTGGTCTTCGCCAAGATCACCTCCATGTACGACTGCACGATCATCAAGCCGGTGAGATTCGGCAGGGAATACAGCGCCACTATGTAAGCGAAGGATTTCAGCGAGACGGGCCGGGTCATCTCGCGCCACTTGTTCACTCGATCGGTCCTCTTGGATTCCAAAAAATCGCGTATCTCGCTCATCTTCTGCTTCGCCTCGACGTCCGGATAATACAGGATCACCGACTTCTCGGCCTCGGGCTCGCGTCCCGCTCGCATCAGATGATACGGCGTGTCTCGCAGCCAAGCGAACAGCCCGATCGACGCGGCGCACATCGCCAGGTACAACGAGGACGACAATCTCGCCGGCAGATAGGACTCGGCGCAGGTGCCGACTAATATGCCCAGTGGTATGCCCGCGCTGGCGATCGACACCAGAGTGCCGCGACACTCCGGGGCGCCGACCTCGCCCAGGTACAGGGCGAACGCGCCGTAGGCCAGTCCGGCGGAGAGGCCGCCGAGGGCGCGCGAGGCTATTATCCAGGAGGCCGAGGTGGCCGCGACCAGGCAGGCGCGATCCGCGGCCTCGATCAGCAGCGCCAGCAACAGCGTCCTACGGCTGCCGAGGAGCTCGACCAGGCAGCTGCCGGCCAGGGCACCGGCTACGGCCCCGAGACCGATCACCGACACGATCCAAGACAGCTCGTCGTCCGTGGCCGTTATCAGCGTGTCATGGTTGCCGGACTGCTGGAGGCGAGGCACGTTGGGCGACGGCCAACCGATCGATATACCGATTTGCGCCATAAACGAGAAGACTGGAAGAATGGGTAATTTTGTGCTCAATTTTTTCGACGCTCGCTGAATTTACACTCTAAAACCCAAAAAAGTAATTTTCGAACCTCAAAAGAGTACACTTTTAAAAAGAGTAAATAAAGCAGTTATTCTTTTGGGTAGAGTACTCTTTTAAAAAGAGTAAATAACGCAGTTTACTCTTTTGAGGTTCGAAAATTACTCTTTTGGGTTTAGAGTGTATATTATCAAATTAATGAATGAAAAGCAAACCTCCGAGCGCCAACGTCCATTCGATGCAATGCTTGGGTATCGTCCGACGTGAAACCACTGCTTCTTCAGTCACTGACATGTCGAAAGCTAATGACTGAACTAGTCATAACAGGCCAGAAACACGAATGAAGATTTGTATTGCTCCTCGAAATTAATCTACATCGAGAGCTTTTATCGAGACGGTATTTTTATGAATGTATTTACGATTGGCTCGATTGCCATCTGACCGATCGAAATCTATAGAAAGAATCGTTCCCTGGACTGTAGCATTTTCACTATGAGTCGACAATATTGCATAGAAAATGCAATTTTAAACTAGTGATAACGCAAAATTGAGAAATCGGTTGAATTCATTACAACATTGTTTAAGTACTATAATATTATTTTTCTGCGCGGTCGCTAGCGCTCTTTACTTCGCTAGTTTTTTTGCGTTTCTCGTTACTGTTAAAGTTAATAATAATTTTGAAATACCACTTGATTAGATAAGGACATACAACTTTTCTCGTTCAAACCGCTTATAAATTCAAAGCAGGAGTCAGACACACGAATAGATTATCTTTCAATTTTCAAAAATAGTAAGTGTAATCAGTATTAAAATTAAATTCATTAAAATTATTAAAAAGTATAAATTACATTGTATGCATGAGAGGTTTAATCCCCAAAAAATACCAGTTTCTGCCAAAAATTAATAGCAGCGAGCAACGTACATCACCTTGTAGAGAAGGTCTGTCGGAACATGTGGGTGAATTTCGTTGTGATTTGGACACGAACTTTTTTTTTTTTTATTAACAAAAAATCGCAGTCGCGTTTTTAGCTTTTCTAAGATATTTTCGAGACCAAGACAGCTTAGGTGAGGCTCCCACGAGAAAAAATGTAGGAAATTTAATTACCTTTCCAACGAATTTAAAAACTAAAATGTTTATTCTTCAAAATGTACATTCCACTTTATTGTTTCGACATGGGAATCTATTAAAAACAACGCCCACAAACTTAGTGCATTTTTGCGAAAATTCACTAGATTTCGCTACTGTCTAATAGTTGACTATGCTGCAGTGGCTGCATCTCCATAATGAATTACACTCGCGTTAGACTAGCGGATCAAATTGACACACAAGTCTAGATGCCTCGTTTTATTGTTTTTTTAAAATCATCTGATACCGACAATGATCTTTATTGACGAGTTTGAGCTACGGGTAACGTTTTCATAATTACAGAATTTCGTATTCGATTTGTATTATATTTTGTAACGCATGTTTTTTATTCATAAGTAATACATATAAATAATACATTAGTAATTACATAAGTAATACATATAGTTTCGATATTGAATTTGTTGCAAATCGTTGCAAACTTCATAATCCCATAGACATAAGTAAAAAAATCGACATCAATTAGAAGAATTCAACATTTAATTGGCTACAATTCATAATAGATATTATTTTAATTCTGAAATTCCTTTACATGAATAATTAATTTTTAAATACGACATCTAAACATAAACATACATCAATGTAGAATTTAAGACGGCATTCGGTTGAACATTACTTTCACCGAACGCAGTGCTCGCATACATGTGTCACAGAGGTGAGGTTGTGGATCTTTATGAACTGAATCAATATGCAACTTGAGATGAGCCTTTTGTGTAAACGTCTTTCTACACAAGTGACATGGATGTTTGATGCGATTATGCACCAAATCAATCAATAATTTTAGACTACCCTTTCGTGTAAGCTTTTTTCCACACGATTTACATGTGGGAAGTCCACCACTATGCTGCTTATAAATGTGTCTTTTAAGACTGCGCTTGTAGACGAATGATTTGCCACACATATCGCATGTAGGTATGTTGCCATGGTGCACCGATGCTGTGTGGTAATTGAGGTAGACCTTACTTGCGAATGCCTTTCCGCATCTATCACAAGTATATTTGATATTATTATGTATCATATCGATGTGAGTTTTGAGATCGCGTTTCGTTGAGAATTTTTTTCCACATATTTCGCATGCATAAGTGATTTTTTTGTGCACTATATCAATGTGGACTTTGAGATTACCTTTTTGTGTAAATTTATTTCCGCAAATATCACATGCATGCATAATTTGATAGTGCACCGAATCGATATGCTTTTTAAGACTACTTTTTAGAATAAATGTCTTTCCACAAATTTCACATGCATGTGAATTACCTTTATGCATCGAATCGATGTGTTTTTTGAGATAGCCCTTGTCTGCGAATTTCTTTTGGCATATATCGCATGCATGCGTGATTTTATTATGCACGGAATCAATGTGGAATTTAAGACTGCTCTTCTTTGAGAATGTTTTTTTGCATATATCACACGCACAGGGGGTTTTCAAATGCACAGATTCGATGTGGGTTTTGAGACTGCTCGTTCGTGAAAATGTGCTTCCGCAAATATCGCATGCATGTCGAACTCGATTGTGCACTGAATCGATGTGGATTCTGAGATAACCTTTAGTTGCGAACGACTTTTGGCATTGATCGCATGAATAACTGATTTTATTATGCACCAAATCGGTGTGGATTTTGAGAGTACCTTTTTGTGTAAATGTATTTCCGCAAATATCACAGGCATGTCTAACACCATTATGCACCGAATCGATGTGGGTTTTGAGATCATTCTTTTGTGTGTATTTTTTTCCACATTTGTGGCATGTGTGGGTGATTTTTTTGTGCACTGCATTGATATGGATTTTGAGACTATGTTTTAATGAAAATGTCTTTCCGCAACTATAACATGTATGCTTGATTTTATAATGCACCGGATCGATGTATCTATTGAGACCATCTCTTCGTTTAAACATTTTTCCACAAATATTGTATGCGTTAGTGATATTACGATGTACCGATTTAATTCGACTTTTGAGATTATTCTTACGCGATGATGTTTTTCCTCGTTTATCACAATTTTGGGGGTTATCCCTATCCATTGATTCTTCTGTGCCACTTTTTTTGTTATTTTGTTCAACGTCAAGATTTAAATTCAATTTTTCAGCAGCGTCATCAAAAAATTCCTGTTTAACTTCACCCATAGTTTCTGTTTTATTAACCACTAATAAGTCCCTATCGAGTTTCACGTCTTCGCATTCAAAAATTATTTCCAAATCCTCATTGCGTTCACCGTCGTGATTAAAACTCGGTTCTACCGCAAAGTCGTCACTGATTTCTTGTTTCACTTCACCCACGGTTTCCATATTATTTGCAAGTTTAGTTTCATAACTATCGCTATCTTTTATATACTGCATATGATATTGAAAATCATCATCAATTTTTTTATTACTGGCACAATTTACGTCAAATTCTTGATACATTTGGGTCTGTAAAGTAATTGAATTGAGATTAAAATGTTTTAATTTGCATGTAATTATATCTCTACTTACTGAATTTTCTGTCGAAAATAGTAAGCATTGCATTTGATTAAGATCGGGTTTCTCGTCAATAATTTTGCAATCATTTTCGATACGCGACACTTCAGTAGGCTCCTCCTTTACTCTGCAATGATAAATTCAATAAAATTAATTTTTTCACAATAATATTACTAACATTTTATTCCCTTAAAATGATATTTACCCGACGGCACAGCCGAAAAATTCACCGGACTCCATCTCGCTCGTTTGAAAACGTCGAACTCACTACGCGACGTTCGAGCTCCAACTGCGGGGAAAACTAGCGATGAGCCTGTTGCTCTGTTTAGTCGGAATGTTAATAAAAGGTCCTTTGTACTTCAAGCATCCTTCACATATCGACGCGTTGCATCTAAAAATACATCGAGCCAGTTGCACCCGTAAAAAGCCCTCGTCTCAACTGATACTCTCTGGCTCGTTTTTATCAAATTCATGAAAATTTTAATCCCGATCTCATCAAGCTCGATCAAAGAATCCAAGATTGAGAAGAAGCGTTTACACAGCGTTCGATGTTAGTTGAAAACTTTGAACTCGGTTTTCTCGAAAGCATGTTTACCGAGACGAACGATTAATCGATATCGCTTCAATTTCATTTATTTCAAAGATAATTTAATTTACTGGACCTCAGACTAAAATTATACTCTTGCAGTAACTATTTTCATTTTTGTAGCACTTTTTGGAAACAAAAAAAAATTTTAGTTCATAACTTTTCTTCGTTAACATAATCTAAGATTCATCATATATGCCTTCTATTTTATAAATAAATTCAATTTTTAAATGTGAGACAATAATTAAATGCGTTCTCGTCTTACGATGACTATTATTTTTTGAATGCATATTATAAAAAAACTCCACGTATTTTTTCAAGAGAAGAAACAATTCAACACGTAAAGTATACGAAAAAGACTGAAGTCTTTTATCTCGGTGAAAAATGAAATTTTCAGACTTTTAAAAATTGCAGTGGAAAAAGAATAAAAACCCTTTCCAATAATTGATTAAAAATGTTTTTCAATTTAAGAGTGCCTATAAGCCCTTACCTTTGAACTATTAATCGAAGATGATCGAAATTTTAATATTAATTATTAAAATCCTGGACGCGGCCTTAACAAAAATTTAAAAAACGGATTATTTGTATAAGGTACAATCGAGATATAAGGAGGTGTTATATCCAGAGACATAGAAACTTGTGCTTCAATTGGAGCTCTAGGGCAAAAAACAGATACTTGCAGCTTGTGAGTGAAGCAGCGATTGTACCTCCAAAATTGTTTTTTTGTCGAGATTGCTCATATATGTTGTTCGTTACTGTCCAATGTTAATTAAATATGTAATTAAATTTATTCGACGATTACAAGATAATTTTAATCCAAAAAGTAACACAGCAAAACACAACAAAAAAATCAGTTTCTTCTTTCTCTCTTCCCTTTAGAACAGGGCATAGTAATTGTACTGGAAATCCACGACCTTGATGGTGTGATCGATGTCATCGGCCATGGCTCGGCTGATGAATTGCCGATAGGGGCCGATTTTCGTGAAGATCGCGTCCGACGTGCCCAAACAGTCGGCCGGCACGTGCGACAGGATGCCAGTGATACCGGATCGCTGCACGTAGGGTGTGCCGTCGTCACCCTACGAACAATTTTTATGTCTGGTAGCTTATAATCGATTTTTTGAATGGTCGTAAATTTTAAAAACTTTTATATATTTTTATAGACTTAAAAAAAAGGTCGGACTTTGGACAAGTATGAAAATTTATAAAAGTTTATAAAATATAATAAAAGGTTATTAATTTTATTTTACTCAAAGATAGTTTAAATTTTTAGTCAGATGAAATATTATATTTCTTAAAATTTGAAGCAAATTTTGAGTTGAAATTAAGAACTGAGTATACTTGATTAAAAGTATTTTAAAGATTTTATAAAAGTTTATAAAAGTCTATTGTAGTATTATTACTAGTACTGCTTTTTTAAAGGTATACCCAGTTTTTAATTTCAACTCAAAAACTTTAAAAAATGTTTAAAATGGAAATTTGGAAGAAGCTCACCTCGCAAACACTGGCCCCGGCATTGGCAGCCGTGATAGCCGCGCAAAAGACGGTGTCGTCGCCGCCCAACAAATAATTGTATCCGCAAATCTCGTCGTCCACGGGCTTCATCATGGCGTACCTCAACCTCGAATCCGCGTGGGTCGGATCGGTCCTCTTCCTGCCGTAACCCGCGACCAACGAAGTGTCGTATCTGCCGAACACGTGCGACCTCGGCAGCGGCGATATCTTCAACTGGTGCGAATTCGGCAGCTTGACGACGTTACGGGCCAGTCGCACCACGGCTATGTCCGCCCGATCGTACATGCCGGCCATGCCGCCGTCCGATTTCCGATAGTCCGCCGGCAGATAGGCGCGCACGACCTTGGTGCTGATGCGCGAGGCCCGATAGTCCGGCGCGCCGACCTGGGCGTGGATCTCGCGGTTGGAGATAGGTTCGCCGCGCTCGTCCACGAAGCAGTGCGCCGCCGTGACGGCGAACACGCTGCCGACGATGCCGCCCATGCAGAAGGACCGCTGACCCGACGAGTCGTGGAAGCTCACCAGGTAGGGGAATTGAAGATTGTCGGCGGTCAGAGCAGAGTACATCGCCTCCAGCACGGCTATGTATACAATTGTGCAAGGTTTTACGCAACGATTTTAGATTGTATGTTCGATGATGGGACTTACCGATTTTTTGAAAACAGACGAGCAACAAGAAACGAGGAAGAGCTCGCATTTTTGTGTGACTGAGGAAAAAAGTCGCTCGTTATACGTATTTTCGTCGAGAAATCATGCAGGGCAAAGTGGTGCACGACTTTTAATACGATGACTCGACAAGGAAAAAATCCGAAGTCGACGGCACTTGACGTCACCCACGTAGTAATGTTTTTTTTCTTTTTACAATTATTCGTCGACGAAACGTTTTTTGAATGTCGATGGTAAATCCTTTTCACGATTGGCCGATAAAAATAAATGAAAGCATTAAAAATTTTTTACAATGGTGTGGATTTTGATGAGCCGAAGACGTTCTCGAGTATATAGTTGACAAAGTGCTGTAAATGTCGTGAGAAAATTTTTCAAAAGAAAAGTTTCCTGGTTTTAATTGTACATTTGCATGAAATTCAACAATAATTACAATTTATATAGTATTTATTGATAAAAATTTCTCTTAAAAAGTATAATATCTCTGTAAAAAGTTAAGTACATTTGTAAATGGAATACTCTTTGTCCGGAATGTATTGAATATATAATTTACTAATTCTACTCGATGCAGTGTCTAATAGTAGTCAGGTACTGGTGCGCAAGCAATTTTGACAAAGTCTTCATATTTCACTTGTCCGTTGAGTGAAACATTGGCCTCTCTAAAGATCTGTTCGACTGAAAGAGACAAAAGAAACAAATATTACACAATAGAACTGAAAAATATTACCCAATCAATTTCCATAACTGCATATAATGTTACCTTCTTTGTTACTCAGTTGTTCTCCCCATCTCAGCAACATGTGAGCCAGTTGCCTAGCCGGTATGGTACCAGTTTTGGCTAAATCAGCGGCTCTGAACGCTTCTATCACTTCCTTGGGTAAGTCTTCTGCTCGGGTTTGCAAGTGCATAGCCTCCAAAAAGTCAGCAAACGACATTTTGCCACCTTTGCTCTTCAAGTACTCGTTCAGCTCAGCTATCGTCGGGCTGAGACCCAGAGACCTCATGATTATAGTCAATTCGTCCAACGTTCTGATTTGACCACTTCTGGCGTACAGGTAGAAGCACTCCCTGAACTCTGCAAAACAAAATGAAATAATTCATGGTTTATAGTCAAACCTTTCACAGAGTTCATAATCATTATTGCTGGTTCCGGTCTACCAAGCAAATAGGCTATTTGATGATATTTAATTCTTTTACACAAAAGTACACGAGTACACAAGATATCTATTCACTCACCGTCGATGTCCTCTTCACGAAAGTACCGAGCCTGAAATCATCAAAAAACAGTTTTTTAAAGTAAGTGATCAATGTGCAAAAATCAGCTGAGTGAACAATTATTTTATCAATATAACAATCTAGTAACCATCGTATATAACCGTCTTCTTCCACCAAACGATCGATCCAGGAAACGTTAATTTACGTAACGCGTCTATCTCTACGCGCTGGATTGCATCCAGTAAAAAGAAAACAATTACAGCTCGATATCTGACACTTGTTTAAGCTGCGCCCGACACAGCTCAGTTGTCAAGCCGTCTGCGTATATGGAGAGGTGAAAGTCAAGTCTGACAACTGTGTGGTTCGAATATCAAACGCCAACCAGCGTTCGCGCGTGTGGCAGCACTAGCAGGTGCTAGAATTTGAATTTCTCGTGTAAATAAGCTGCGTACTACGACGGACCAATGCGTACAGCGTATGCGCGCCTCGGCACGTCGTATGCGTGAAAAATTCGTCTGCTTCGATTTTGTGTATTGTGTCGTGGAGGCTCGCTGACGTACTACATAGTACATACGCACACGCTCCAGTGAAGTTTCCAAATTATTAAGCCCGTCGTGCGAGGTTAATCATCTATTAATAATACGAAATCTTATTATAGCCTTTTTATTTTCCGTTTTGTTTCTTGTGTGTATACTCTCCATACGTATAAGTGCGATTGCTCGCTGCGGCGGCGGCGGCGGCCCCCCTGGCTTGAAAAGTGACTCGACGCAGATAGTCGATAGTCGAACTCTCCGCAGCTTATCACTATTCAATACTGCATTTCTCCTTGTGTGCATACGCGTGCAAGCTTATCGTCTTTAATACTGCGCATTTAATACTTTTCTGCCCTGTGTTGTAATCGCTTCTGTTCTGACACTTCTGTGCTTTCTCCAGCAGCAGCAGCATACGATCATGGATCCTGAGGCGGATAACGACGGACTGACGGCCGGCCAATTGTTCAGCCACGGCACGGGCCTGACCTACAACGACTTTATCATACTGCCGGGCTACATCGACTTCACCGCGGACGAGGTGGATCTGAGCTCGGCGCTGACGCGGCGCATCAGCCTCAGGGCGCCGCTCGTCTCCTCGCCCATGGACACGGTCACGGAGTCCGACATGGCCATCGCCATGGCCTTATGCGGCGGCATAGGCGTCATACACAACAACTGCTCGGTCGAGGATCAGTACCACGAGGTCTTGAAGGTATATAAAAGAAAGAAACTTCTAGTACATAAATACGGTCGTATTGCGTTTGAATGTTCGCGAACGCGCGTGTGTGTCTGTCGGGTTGCGGGACACGATGATGCAATGAGTCTACACTGTTTCCTATATCCTATATTTTACAGGTCAAAAAATACAAGCACGGATTCATTCGAGATCCGGTCGTGCTGTCGCCGGTGCATACGATTGGAGACGTCGTGAACGTCAAGGAGACCCATGGATTCTGCGGAATACCGATCACCGATACCGGCAAGCTCGGAGGAAAACTCATGGGAATGGTCACCTCCAGAGACATCGACTTCCTGGCGGATTCCGCAGAAAATCTTAGCATCAAACTGGGCGATATCATGACGAGAGTCGAGAATTTGATCACCGCTGACTCCGGTATAAATCTCAAGGATGCCAATGTCATTTTGGCTCAATCCAAGAAGGGCAAATTGCCAATTATCAACGATAATGGAGAATTGATAGCTTTGCTGGCGAGGACTGATCTGAAGAAAAACCGTAACTATCCCAATGCCAGCAAAGATGAAAATAATCAGCTTCTTGTTGGAGCAGCCATTGGAACTCGTCAGAGCGATAGACACAGATTACAGCGACTGGTTGATGCTGGAGTGGATGTCGTTGTTCTGGATTCGTCTCAAGGAAACTCAACGTATCAAATAGAGATGATCAAGTACATCAAGACAACTTTTCCAGGTTTGGAAGTTATAGCTGGTAACGTTGTAACTACCAAACAAGCAAAAAATTTAATTGAAGCTGGAGCAGATGGCTTAAGAGTGGGAATGGGTTCAGGCTCGATTTGCATTACTCAAGAAGTGATGGCAGTAGGCAGACCTCAAGCAGCAGCTGTTTATAATGTTGCAAAATTTGCAAGGGAACATGGAGTACCGGTTATCGCTGATGGTGGAATTCAAAATATTGGACAAATTACCAAAGCACTGAGTCTAGGAGCAAGTACAGTGATGATGGGATCTTTGTTAGCTGGACACTCAGAGACTCCTGGCGAATACTTTTTCAGCGACGGAGTGAGGTTGAAAAAATACAGAGGTATGGGTTCTATTGAAGCTATGGATAAAAAAAATGGAGAGGGCTCGGCATCTGATCGATACTTCCACAATGAAATGGATAAACTAAAAGTAGCTCAAGGAGTCAGTGGAGCCATTGCCGATAAGGGCAGTGTTCTCAGATTTTTGCCATACCTCCTTTGCGGATTGAAGCACGGTTGTCAAGATATTGGAGTAAAATCATTAACTATTCTCAGAGACTCAATTTACAGCGGTCAAGTACGATTTGAAAAGAGGTCTCAATCGGCTCAACAAGAGGGAAATGTTCATGGATTGGTCACGTACGAGCACAGACTGTTTTGAGAGCAAGAGGCTTCTCGAAAGAATAATTATCAGCATTCCAATGATTGTTACACAAACGCTTCGGGGTGATATTTTAGAGTTTAGAAAACAGTTGAGGGTCGAGAGTTTTATTGTTGTACATAGTTGTTAAATTTTTTCCAATACAGATAATTATTAAAGAAATAATTTTGTATACTTTATAGATTTTTATAAACAAGCGTTGAGAGAAAAAAAAATAAAGAAAACATAAAATTCATTAATGCAACGACTCATTCATCAAAAACCCCGAGTGTTCATCGTGTTTTTGAACTCCGTAAGTATAATAAAAGATAAAACGTAGTAATTTTTATGAATGGTACAAAATGTCGGTTCAAAGTGTTTCATTCATCGCCCCCGCGCGTCGGCGTCGGCGATCGATGTCATTGAACGCGCGCCGGGATTCTCCGCTCCGGTTTCGATGATAACACAATTCCAGCATGATATAATTATTGTGCCATATTATCTCGATCGGCCGTGGTGTAGCAGCACCGGTTCAGCAGCAGCAGCAGCAGCAGAAACTCGCGCCAAGAAATAGCAAATAGCAATAATAAACACCACACATATAAGTACGTATACACAATCACATGTGCGGACTATACGGGGCCCGGCGACGCGACGCTCTGCGCAGAGGCTGGCAGCAGTACAGATACTAACACACACACACACACATACACATCACCTCGAAACTGGGAGCTGATCGAGTTTCTCGCTGTAAAATCTCCCGCCATCTCCGGCACTGTACAACATAACATCAACACGGCATCGTCTGCAGCGCGAGAAACTTCCCTCTCGAGGACAGGCCTGCACCACCCTCTTCTGGACCACAGAGCAGTAGCCGTAAAAAAGCGGAACAATACCATCGAGGGATATAAACTCGACGAGTGACGGGTATGTTTTTTGAGCGCGTCGCCCGTGTAAACCTTGCAGAATTATTAAAGTGTGTAAACATTGCAGCTGCTGCTTAGTTGCGTGTGTGCGCGTGTGCGTGACTCTTTGATAAAACTATTTCTAATTTTTCGCACTCGATTATTCCAAACGTATTCTTATGACGTCGTGTTATATCGCGTTCGGCTCATCGAACTCTGGCAATTTTTTGGTCTGCTGACAGGTCCGTATAATCAGTGTTTGCTTCGCGTATCTCGTATTTGTTTAATCTTTGCATTTTTAGAAGTTACAAGTTCGTAAATAAACGTTTCATTAAGATATTCGAGTTGGAATTGTTATTTGTGTTACAGAATGCATTAAATAACTTATTGATATCTGTAAATTTTGGCTTTTTTACAGACAATGGCAACACCAATAAGAGATGCTCCTCGAAGACGATCTTCCAGACAGGCTCTGGCCATAATTCCAGATACTACCATCTCAAATTCATCGCCGCGTAAGTATGACATTTGAATAAGTCAAATTTTTTCAAGTGAAACATTGATGCTACTTTGAAAGTTGCAGTTGGTGCTACCACTAGAGGGAGAGAAAGTATGGAACCAAGCAAACCAGCTCCAAGTCCCGATGAATTGGTTATACAAAAAAGAGGCAGACGCAGTATGATTGTATGGTCACCCGAAGCTGATGGTACCAAGAGAGAATCCATCTTTAGGTAAAGCATTATTAATGCTGGCAAAGTAGTAAACAATCTCACAATCGCTTTTACATGTTATGCAGCGATCGTACACCTGGGAAGACTCCTAAAAAGAAAGGTGATCAAGAAAAACAAGATAAACAATACAAAAACACACCTAGAAAGAAACTTAATTTAGGAGAGGACGATATTGAGATGCTATCAGAACAGCCCAGAGTTTCACCCAAACCATTCACTGGTGAATTAATCAATGGACTTAAAGGTTTGAGTAAAGAACAATTAATTAAAATGTTGATGGATCTCATACAGTTAGAAGAAGATCAAGGATTAGAACCTAACAATAGTTTAAGAGAAATAGTGATGAAAAATATGCCAGTAGCTGATATACAACCACTCAAAGAAAGACTGTCTTCTATAAGACAAAATATTTCTGCTAGTCTAGTATCTTCAAATGAAGATGAACCACCGTATACTCGAGCTGTCATTCATTTGGACAATTTTCAGGTAACATTTTGCTAATTTACATTGTTGAATTTGTTTTTTATGTTCATGATAAATTTTATTGTTTGCAGAAAGCTATCATGGAGCATACAAAAATGCTAACAGATTCTCAACATTGGTCAGCTACTATTCAATATATATTTGCTGCTTGGTCAATTACTCGGGATCTTCCAGAATGGAAAAATAATGGTGTGCAAAGCGAGAGACAACGGAGCTTTAAACTTTTAGCAGACACTTGCTACAACGCATTGGAAGAAGGAAAATTTTCAACAAATACGCTCAATATCTACAAAGAAAAGTAAGGACATAGCAAAACTCATAGAGAGGTTATTATTGACAATTAATTCATTTAAAACGTTTTTGTTTCAGACTGAAGACGTATGTTGGAGATTATGACGACATCAATCGTTGTATACAATTTATAAAAAAAGCGAGTGCGTGACTCCCACCTGATCGGTTAGAATAAACCAATGTGACATAATTTTATAATGTATATATCTTTATATATATTACTGATGATAATATATATTTAAAAAAATGATTTTTTTATATATTCGCGTAATGTTGGACACATGAGCCGATATCAAATCAGTGATTAGTTTTATGACAACGTCATTTCAGACGCAAAGACTCATAAGTTAAAATGAACCAGTAATCAAATCTGTTATAACTGTATATCATTAGCAAGATCTGTTATTTTTGTTTATGTACACGGATACCACTGACAACTGCATTAATATTATTGTGTATACTTTCATAAAGTAGAGTAACTTCTTGTGATAGTATTATTGTACATGTATTTCTAGCATATAGCAATGTTCAATTTATTTTTATCTATTTTTATTAACGAGTTGTATCTTTACCTATTGTTTATAGTCGTATTTGACCATAAATTAATGCGGACGAGATTATGTCAAACCAGTGAATAAGCATGTTAAGATATTTATATATAATGTTTGTATTATATTTATAGCAAAAAAAGAAATATTTTCATATGAAGATATAGATCAGAGTATAATAAATGACGTCGTAGCAATTATTTATTTTTTTTTGTCATTAACACTTCATTAATTTTTTTATTCTCATTTCATGAACATACAATAACTAAGTAAGTCGTAAACAAGAAGTTTTCAAATTGAAAGGACTGACATCACAAAATTTACATAAAAAGAGCTTCATAATTTTATAATTTTAAAATTGATATAACACTTGTTTACTTTTCAAAAAAAGTAAAAAAATTATTTTAAATTTAATCATTGTTTTACATAATTAAATAACATTGTAGAGATCATTGATAGTATTACTGATGATCATTTTTAAACCAATTCTCCCAACGTATAAATAAACAACAGTCGCGACGTCGCAATATTGACACTGGTTGCCGCAAACTTCCAGAAGATGAACTTTACGAACAAGAAAGTAATACAGTTGTGAGCGTTAATCGATACAACTATAGAAATCTTTCCTGAAACTCGAAGGTACAGATTTACTTTCATCCCCTACACTTTTTCAAAAGTTGTCCTCATTTGCTGGCAGGCCACGTAATCTGCGCGATCGACGGATCGGTGGTTCAGAGCTCGCAGACGCGACCGACTCACTACTTCTACATCTCTTCCTTTGATCGATCGGCCTTGATTTTAATTGATTTTTGTTTGTTTTCTGGCATAAGCGGAACAGATCTTCGTCGCTCATGTGTTCGGCAATTTTTAGGCAAGCAAGATACGGAAGGTTTAAGTTGCAGTGATCCGTCATAAAAAGATCGGCTACAAACCATTCCAACTGAGGCCGAATTAAAACGTTTGCCAAGTGTCTTTTTGCGATGATGTTCACGTGCTTACACGAAATATCGTCCATCGCAGGCAAACGCCAATTTTGTTTACCTTTTATCAACGAATAACCCTTGCTGTAGCTCATTTGACATATTTTATACAACGAAACGCCTTCGGTTAACATAATCTTTGTTGTGCGGTCAACTTGAGATAGCAAACGGTCAATTGCTTTTTGAGCCTGAACTAGGTGGCAATTTTCCAGTTTTAAATATTCTAATATGTGGCGCATTCTTAATTCCTTGCATTTTTGGTCCATGAAATCTTCAGCTTCTTGCGTAATATAAAATCCATAATAACGATGAATCAATCGTTTTTGCAAGATATATCTCTGATAAAACATTTCGGTATGTACTTGGAGTCCCTCCTCTTCCCGGAGAAAAATAAATCATTTTAAAAAATTATTCAGCACTAAATTATAGATATTATATAAGCAAAATAAAATGACGTACCTGGCCAAAACTCTGCAAGATCTGCGCCCATGAGATGATCAGTATCATTTCCTCGAATTTTCATCCAATATTTTATCATTCTGAGTCTTGCGTGTAAACTTAAATTGTATCCAGCCGACTTCAACAAATGAGCCATCTCAATTATGTTGAGAGTTAGTGGATAATTTTTCAATTCCAGTGGTGTGAATGTCATGTTGAAAATTTTATTCTCGTTTAAATTGTCGATCTTCGCTCCATACTTCAAAAATGTCCTCGTGAGCTCAAGGTCAAGTCGAGAAACCGACAGACCTAGTGGAGTGTATCCTTGACAATTACGAGCTTCGATATCTGCTCCGTTATCAATGAGCATTTTGACGAGTTCATCAACTGGTTTTCTCTTATCGCAAAATTTATGGCGGTCTGTGCATTGGCATAGACACAGCCGAGCCAGGGCGTGAAGAGGCGTGGATTCCTCTGCGTCTCGCTGATTTGGATTGGCCCCGTGTGTCAATAAAATTTCAACAACGTCAGCGTGTCTGTACTGGGCTGCTAAATGAAGTGGCGAATACGTGTATGTATCGAGATTGACGTCCACGCCTTGGCTCAAAAGTAAATTCACTGCACTCACATTGCCAGACATACAAGCTCCGTGTAAATATGTATAGCCGAGATCGTCTTGATAGTTTTTTTTTGGACTCTCCAAAAAATACTTCAAGATCTTTAGAGTTTCCACTTTTGAAGCTTTAGAGCAACGATACGTCTCATCTTTCCCGTACAATCCCTCAGTCAAATAATGCAGAGCAGAATGTCCATCTTTGAATTTAATCTCGTGTATTTTTAAGTTTCCCTCCTCGAGCAGTTTTATCATTTCCAAACTGTGTTTGTGTAAAGCATATCTTAAGAAATATTTTTTATCTTTGACACTGGGAAATAGCTCTTTACAGTTCATTAACTCTATACAAACTCTCCTATCAGCAGGGATTCTTAGTGGTCTTATATAAATTTCAAAGTCAAAGTAACATAAGTCGCAAAAAGTCCGGCGTCTCTGGTTCACGTCTTTTTCAGTTTTCATCATAAAATAACTCCTTTCCTGGATGGATAAGTCGTCGTAATTAATTATCGACATTTTGAAACAAACTTTTTGTGAATCTAACCTCCAAGAGTAAAAATTTCGAGTCCAGCACTGAGTGGAGGTCGAAATTGTACTGACGCTTGAAAGAGAAAGTATTTTAACGGCCGCGCGAATGCGCAGCTGCCTATAACGGCCAATGCGTATACGACATCGTTTGAATAGAAAACAACGAGCCCGCACAGTTCGAGCGATCATTCGAACGGTCATTTTGAACGTCGTATTTTTGGCGGTAATCGTGATCCTGTAAATTTCGCCCTGTCTTTCGTGTGTACGGCAAGCTCACAGGACCAGTGCTTTGGGGTGTAGATTTCTATAATATTAGTTAACAATCTGAAACGTGGTACGTTCTTGCGGTAATACAAAAAATATTAGAAAAATATCTTTGCCAGTGTATTTCTGGTGAATTTTTTACATCGACGTTAATTACAGCATCTAAAAGGGTTGCAACAAAATCTTAAAATAAAAAAGAAGTTAAAAGATCTAAATACATATCATACATACATGTCAGGTTCATTTATCAAAGATTTATGTATAGGTCATATCCCATTAATAATGCTTGATACAATTACATCTTAAATATAATCATAATCAAGACATAATAAATCAAGACCAATATTAACTGATTCTAATGCTTCATTATGATAATTATGATTACAGTTACACTTAATATACAATATGTACATGCGAGCATGAGAACTAAGATGATTACATGAACAAAACATCCTAGAACCTCTTCAAGACTAAACCATAAAAAACAAAAAAATGCTACATCAAAACAACTTTATAGACTAATAATTTTGAAATTGAAATTTCTTCACCCATATTGAAATTTTTGTATCTTTCTTTTGACGCCAACACTTCCACAAACACTTTACACAGCTGACAGCCGTCATATCACTTTTGATTATTTTATACGTGAACAAATAAAATAATATCAAAACAAGTGTCAAGTTGATACGTGTGCCTTGAATTTGGTCATGCGAGAAATGTTCTATTTGTGCGATTAGATACTACTGATAGTGCAGTATACTACTGATACTATTTCGTCTTTATTTTAAGTTTTAATTTAAAAACAAGAACAAAATATTATATATAAATATAACAATATATTTCATTAACAACTAAGAAGAAAACAGTGGAATGGATGGTGCTGGTTAACTGGAAGACCCTACAGTCGATAGGCCTAAAATTTGGAAAGGCACAGCAATAATTTTGGCATCGAGTCTTTTTCAACTGTGATTTTGACTTGCTGAAAGTCCCTGTAATCTGCGCGATCGACGAATCGGCGGTTGAGGGCTCGCAGACACCACCGACTCACTACTCCTACATCTCTTCGTTTGATCGATCGGCCTTGATCATAAATGATTTTCGCCTGTCTGCCGGCATAAACGGAACAGATCTTCGTCGCTCATGTGTTCGGCAATTTTTAGGCAAGCAAGATACGGAAGGTTTAAGTTGCAATGATCAGTCATGAAAAAATCGGCTACTAACCGTTCCAAATGTGTCCGTATCAAAACGTTTGCCAAGTGTCTTTTTGCGATGATGTTCACGTACGTACACGAAATATCGTCCATTGCGGGTAATCGCCAATTTTTCATACCTTTTATCAGCGAATAACCCTTGCTGTAGCTCATTTGACATATTTGATACAGCGAAACGTTTTCGCTGAGCATGATATTTTTTGTGCGCTCAACTTGAGCTTCCAAATCGTCAATTGCTTCTTGAGGATAAAATCGATGGTAGTCACTCGGGCATACATTTCTCAATTCCTTGCACTTCTGGTGCAAGAAATCTTCAGCTTCTTGTGTAATATACAAGCCATATATACGATGAATATCTATTTTGTGCTCGATATTTATCAGGACATACTGTTCGCAAGAATCTATAAGAGAAAAAAAGTATTTTAAAAAATTGTTCAACGGTAAAATACAAATATTATATCATTAGTATAAAATGACTCACGTTCACCGATAAGATGATCGGTATCGTTTCCTCGAATTTTCAACCAATATTTCATCATCCTGAGTCTTGCTTGTAAACTTAAATTGTATCCAGCTGACTTCAACAAATGAGCCATCTCAATTATGTTGAGAGTTAGAGGATAATTTTTCAATTCCAGTGGTGTGAATGTCATGTTGAAAATTTTATTCTCGTTTAAATTGTCGATCTTCGCTCCATGCTTCAAAAGTGTCCTCGTGAGCTCAAGGTCAAATCGACAGACCGACAGACCCAGTGGAGTGTACCCGTGACAATTTTGAGCTTCGATATCTGCCCCGTGATCAATGAGCATTTGAACGAGTTTATCCACTGGTTTCCTCTCATCACAGAATTTTTCGCAATCGGTGCACTGGCATAGACACAGCCGAGCCAGGGCGTGAAGAGGCGTGGATTTCTCTGCGTCTCGCTGGTTCGGATTGGCCCCATGTGTCAATAAAATTTCAACAACGTCAGCGTGTCTGTACTGGGCTGCTATATGAAGCGGCGAACACGTATATGTGTCGAGATTGACGTCCACGCCTTGGCTCAAAAGTAAATTCACTGCACTCACATTGCCAGACATACAAGCTCCATGTAAATATGTATATCCTAGATTGTCTTGATAGTTTTTTTCTGGACTCTCCAAGAAGTAATCCATGATCTTTAGGGTTAATACTTTTAAATTTCCTTCGTGCATAGTTTCATAGATTTTTGCGTAAATTACCTCAGCCAAATAATGCAGAGCAGACTGTCCATCTTCGAGTTTAACCTCGTGTATTTTCAAGTTTCCCTCCTCGAGCAGTTTTATCATTTCCAAACTGGGTTTGTCTAAAGCATATTTTAAGAAATATTTTTTATCCTCGACACTGGGAAATAGCTCTTTACAGTTCATTAACTCTATCAAAATTCTCTTCTCACAAGGGCCTTGTGTTATAGGTCTCAAACAAAGTTGAGAGTTATAGTGACATAAGCAACAAAACATCTCGCGTCTTTTTTTCGCGTCATCGTGTCGCATCACATAATCCCTAAACATTTTTCGCATGACGGATACGTATTCCTCGCTAAAAGTTGTTAACATTTTGAATCGAACCGTATTTGAAACTAACCTCCGCGACGAAAAATTTTCGAGCCCGACACCGGTGGAAGTTGCAAACGCACTGACGCTAAAAAGAGAAAGTATTCTAACGGCCGCGCGGCTGCGCAGCTGCCTATAACGGCCAATGTATGTATACGACATCGTTCGACCGAGCGGAGCAACGAACCGGCGCCGCTCGAGCCATGCGAGTAATTAATATAGATAGACGTAATTCTCTGCGTCGATGCGGGCTTTATCGTAAGTCCCGGGACTGAGTTACGTTCTGCTGTTGTAGCAGCCGATGTACACATGTACTCCGACGCGTTGGAGTTGTCTGTTTACCTTTCAAGCGCACACGTGTTCGACGAGACGCGCGCTATTTTAACGCCTAAAATGCCGTGAATTCGTTATTGACTAATTAAATTTCAAGTTAATATGGGTTTTGATAATATTCTGGTGTAAGTAGCTGGGATATTATGATTATGAAGTTTTACTTAGAAGTAAAAAAAAATGAGTGGACGTAATGTTCGTCACAGGAGTAATAAGCATTATCGAACAAAGGTGTAATGATAAAAGATTTTTAATGAAACACAATCATATTGACAACATTTTTATTGTAATTATAGAAAAACTTGTAATTGAATGTCTGTATAAGTTTCTATACATAATTATAATCGTCCAGAAAAAAATTAAGCACTTGTCATAATTTCACCGATGAAGTGCTGTTATTCTCTTAGGAACTAATCTAAGCATGTGACTGCAGTACATTCGAGCTATATTAGTAAAAACAATACATCATTCATATAAAAACTTGAAATCTCTCTATCATCATTATTGAGAGCCGCGTGTGGGATATTTAGTCTAATAATTGAAAAATAATCAGTGAATTTTATGAGTTTCTTTTAGTACACTTTTTGTGTCCAAATTTTTTCTCGCACTTATCGCATGCAAAATCTTACTGACTTTCATGGCGTGCCCTTTGGTGGTAGAGCCAATGCTGTTTTTGTCCAAATTTTTTCTCGCACTTATCGCATGTAAAATCTTTGCGACCTTCATGTATTGTCTTTTGGTGTTTGTTTAAATTACTCCTATCTCCAAATTTTTTTTCGCATCTGTCGCATGGGTAATCTTTATGCCCTTGGTGGACTGTTTTCATGTGCAAGACCAACGTACATTTGTGTCCAAATTTCTTCTCGCACTCGTCGCATGCAAAATATTTACGACCTTCGTGTACCGACCTTAGGTGTAAGAGCAAATGCCGTTTATGTCCAAATTTTTCTTCGCATTTGTCGCATTCGAAATCTTTACGACCTCCATGAACTGTCCGTTGGTGGCGAAACAAATTAAATTTTAGCCCAAATTTCTTCTCGCAATCATCGCACGAGTAATCTTTGCGACCTTCGTGAAATGTTTTTTGGTGGCTGTTCAAATCTAAATTTCTTACAAATTTCTTCTCACACTTGTCACATGCATAATCTTTTCGATTTTCATGCACTGTTTTTTGATGAATTAGCAATTGTACTTTTTGTCCAAATTTCTTCTCACACTTATCGCATGCGTAATCTTTGCGACCTTCGTGGACTATTTTTTGGTGTTTATTCAAATTTTTTTTATCTTTAAATTTTTTCCCACATTTGGCACATAAGTTATCTTTGAGGACTTTAAAGGCAATATTTTTCCGACCTTTATGAATTGTTGTTGTGTTTATGAGTAAACTCGATTTATTTTCTACTTTCGTTTCCAAATCGTCACATGAGTTATTTTTGAAGATGTTGTGTACTCTCTTCATATGGAGTAGCAAATAATCTTTGTGTCCAAATTTTTTTTCGCACTTGTCGCATGCTAAATCTTTGGGACCGTCATGGACTCCCTTCACGTGTGTGAGTAAACTGTGCTTACTTGCAAATCTCTTGGCGCACTTTTCACATAAGTAATCTCTGAAAACTTCGTGGAAAATTTTTTTGTGCTTCAGTAAAGTTGATTTATTTTCAAATTTTCTCTCGCACTTGTTGCACGTGAAATCATTGCGATTTTTGTGTACTAATTTTTGATGCGTAAATAAACTCGATTTTTTCACAAATTTCTTTTCGCACTGGTCGCATTCATAATCTTTGCGGCTTTTATGCTCTGATATTTGGTGTCTACTCAAATGACTTCGAAACTCAAATTTCTCATCGCACTTGTCGCAAGAGTAATCTTTTCGTTCACTATGAATTGTATTTCTGTGTGTTATCATGCTTGATTCTAGTGTAAATGCCTCCTGACAAATATCACAAATATAGTTTTTGTCGTCCAAAAATATAATGTCGCGTTCACTCAAATTATACGTTGAGACCACTTTATCGAGATCCTTCTCACTTTTATCCATTTCCGTGCCTAAAAAAAAAACGGAACCTATTTCGTGCCACGAAAATTGAACGAGTAAACTTGCTTTCACTACTGTAAACTAATCAGTGTATAGAGAGACAATTTCAAAATTGTTTGTTATAATATTGTTTACAATTCAGGTGCCGATGTATCGGTTCATTGTAATTACAATTTTCTAGCTATTTTGAAAGTGGGATACAGAATATCTGACTGAGAAATCGAAGGAGAACACTTGACGTTTAATTTATAATTTATTATTTTGAAAATCTTGCAGGAATCGAGAAGCCAAAAAATACTCGGAGACCAGTAATTAACTTTAAAATAAAGATATAATATGTGATGATTAATATCAAGAAGTTTATGTAAAACACATATTTTGATACAATTTTTATTTAAATTTTAGAAAAACTCGTACTTAAACATTTTTACATGAGTTTTTGTATATATTTACAATAGACAATAAGAGAATCGAGGGTTGTCAACATTTCACTGATGAAACACGCGCCTTTCTTTTGTAAGGCACTATTTACAGCATGCAACTTCAATAAGTTCAAGCTACATTCGTAAATATGATAAATTATTTACTAAAACTTGATTTTCATGTGACATGAGATTGGATTTAATTAAGCATAAATGGGTCTCTTTCCCATCATTATTGTTTTTTAGTGGTCCAGCAAACTATTTTTAAGTCCGAATTTCTCGACGCCCGAATTATATGCTTATTTTTTCGTGGACCATTATTCGATGGTAGAGCATACGATATTTTCGTCCGAATTTCTTCTCGCACTTGTCACATTCGAAATCTTTACGACCTTCGTGAACTTCGTGTTGGTGCTTAACCAGAGTCCCTTTTTGTCCAAATTTTTGCTCACACTTGTCACATTCGAAATCTTTACGACCTTCGTGAACTGCCCGTTGGTGATAAAGCAAGTTTGATTTTAGCCCAAATTTCTTCTCGCACACGTCGCATGCGTAATCTTTGCAACCTTCATGCACTATTTTTTGGTGTTTGTACAAATTTCTCCGATCTCCGAATTTCTTCTCGCATTTGTCACATGCATAATCTTTCCGACCCTCATGGACTGTCTTTTTGTGTGAAAGCAACTGTGATTTTAGTCCAAATTTCTTCTCGCACATGTCACATGCGTAATCTTTTCGACCTTCATGGACTATTTTTTGGTGTTTGTACAAATTTCTCCGATCTCCAAATTTCTTCTCGCATTTTTCGCATGTGAAATCTTTGCGACCCTCGTGGACTGTCTTTTTGTGTGAAAGCAACTGTGATTTTAGTCCAAATTTGTTCTCGCACATGTCGCAAGCAAAATCTTTACGACCTTCGTGAACTTCGTGTTGGTGCTGAAGCAGAATCCCCTTTTGTCCAAATTTTTGCTCACACTTGTCGCATGCGAAATTTTTGCGACCTTCATGAACAGCCCGTTGGTGTGAAAGCAACTGTGATTGTAGTCCAAATTTCTTCTCGCACATGTCGCATGCGTAATCTTTTCGACCTTCATGGACTATTTGTTGGTGATAATTCAAATTTCTCCGATCTCCAAATTTCTTCTCGCAATTATCGCATGCAAAATCTTTTCGACCCTCGTGGACTGTTCTTAGGTGGATGAGCAAATTCCTCTTTTGTGTAAATTTCTTCTCACACTTATCACATGTGAAATCTTTTCGACCTTCGTGTATTGTTTTATGGTGGCTCATCAATGTCGATTTTTCTCCGAATTTCTTCTCACATTTGTCGCATGGAAAATCTTTCCGACCTTCGTGGACTGTTTTTTGATGGAGCAGCAAATTCGATTTGCGTTCAAATTTCTTTTCACACTTGTCACATGTAAAATCTTTGCGTCCTTCGTGTACTGTCTTTTGGTGGAAAAGCAAATTTGATTTTTTTACAAATTTCTTTTTACAATTGTCGCATGCGAAATCTTTGCGACCCTCGTGTACTATCCTTTGGTGTTGGAGCAAATGTTGTTTTTGTCCAAATTTTTTTTCGCACTCGTCACATGCAAAATCTTTACGTCCTTCGTGTACCGTCTTTAGATGTAAGAGCATATTCCTTTTTTCTGTAAATTTCTTCTTGCACCTGTTGCATGCGAAATCTTTCCGACCTTCGTGTACTGTCTTTATGTGCATGAGCAAACTCGATTTTTTACCATATCTCTTCTCACATTTGTCGCACGGGTAATCTTTCCGACCTTCGTGTACTGTCTTTTGGTGTAAAAGCGACTGAAATTTTTGGGTAAATTTCTGACCACACTTTTCGCAAGCGTAATCTTTGCGACCTTCGTGAACTGACTTTATGTGGATTAGCAAACTCGATTTTTTTCCATATGTCTTCTCGCATTTGTTGCATGCGTAATTTTTGCGACATGGGTGATCCTCGAAGACATGTACTCTCTTCATGTGAATGAGAAAATCCAATTTTTTTATAAACTTTTCTCCGCACTTGTCGCATACGTAGTCGCTGCGAACGTCATGTACTGTCTTTATGTGCATGAGCAAACTATGTTTATTTCCAAATCTCTTCGCACACTTTTCACACAAGTAATCCTTGAAGACTTCGTGGAATATTTTTTTATGCTTCAGTAAAGCTGATTTATTTTCAAATTTTCTTTCGCACTTGTTACAAGTCAAATCTTCACGATCTTTGTGTACCAACTTTTCATGCGTTAACAAACTCGATATTTTCACAAATTTTTTCTCACACTCGTCACATGCGAAATCTTTGCAGCCTTTG